GGTTAATAGTCATGACGGTGGGTGGTCCTACCACTTGAATCTGTCCGATTCCCAAGTGTCCAGACTGACTCCCATTGGGCAGGGTCTGTAGGCTTGAGAGTGGCTGCAGGGTCACTTGCTGCATAAAAGGCTGCACACTGATGGTCTTGTTCATCCCCTGAGGCTGGAGCTGCAAGCCGGAGTGAGCCAGAACCGGCCCGATCATGTCCTGTGCAGCATTAGGGGGCGTTGCAGTGGAGCCAGAGGAGGGGAAGATCTGACTCGAACCTCCAACCCCAACTCCTATGCCCACCCCCACTGCGCCCCCCCCGGCTCCAGAGAGGTTTGGATCAGGAAGAGTTTGCACCACCTGTGCCAGCCCTGGTAACACAAATGAGCCCAGGTCCAATTCCTCTGCCTCCTGTAGGCTCTGTTCCGTGATGTTGGCTTCTGCCAGGCTTTGCTGTAAGATGTCACACGGTTCATTATTGGTCCCCATGCCGCCATTGTGGCCACCGCCAGCTGGTGAGCCGCCGAGGATGTCATCGTCCTCCAGGAAGTCCAGATCCACGCTGCCGCTGGGAACCTCTGCTGGCACGCTTGTTGACAGCTGATTGGTCTGCTGGATCTCTGGCACATGGCCCTAAGACAGAAAAGAAATACCGCAAATGGAGACAAAGGCATATGAGGATGAGAGGCAGAAAGGAAGCAACGCTGGAGAGTTAGGCTACGCTTATGCCTACAAGATGGACAGGACAAAAACACAAATAAGGACAGCAAACAGAATCAACCCTACTGGCTACCAAGGACTATACAGACAATACATTAAAATGATAGTGGTTTCAGTAAACAACCGGTAGTTCAGGAGGTGAACAAAGAAGTGGTGCGTGAAGTGCTAAATAAAAGGGAAGGACTGGGAAAAAATGAGAAGGAAACTGGAGTCTGGTGTGATCGAATGCACTGTGGTGGCTTGGCATGACAATTTTGGCGGGGGTGGTGCATAAAAGGGGCTGATGGATGAATGAGGGTGAGGTGGGGAGGTGGGGGGGGTGGATTTACTCACCCCAGCAGTGTTGAAGAAGGAGCTGGAGGGCTCAGTTGAGCAATCCAACAGGTCGTCGGTGTCCAGCTACAGACAAAGCGGGTGGGTATGGAGGGAACCGCACAGCCAGAGCCGAGAGCCACAGCCACACGAGGGCGCCAGAGCACAGAGGGACAAAGGAGGACAGAGATGGGGTCATGATCATCGGGGCGGGGGGGGGGTGTGTGGAGGGGACAGGGAGGCAGGAATTTAATAAAAGTAAGGAATAAGAGAAGGGAGAAACAATGAGGAAAAGGAGACAGGAAAATCAATTAGCATTTATGTAATTCTATTTTTAAGAAGCAAAAATCAAGACAAATCAAGGGATGCAGTCATTTTTATTGAATAATAAGGAAGGGTGGGCAAGAGGGAGTGAAAGAGATGCTGCTCTACAGCCAGGGTATGTTGGTGCAGTAAGTTTGTTTAGGACCATAAACTGCAGGAGCACGTATGGTAATATTTAAGGTAAATGGCACCATATTCATAGGTTGGTATTGTCATCGGGATTGGGCATTGCAAACTCTAGGGTGGGAAGGTGTTTATAATGCAGAATACAGGGGGAGGATTTGGCAATGAAATGAGATTAGGGAAGTTGCATGGTTTGCGAAGAAGACAAGTTGTATTTCTCTCACAGGGACATATCACTTTAGTTCACACTTACAAGCGTTTCTGGTCCATGAAGGAAATCGTTGAGCGCCTGCGGGTCACTATAGAGAATAATCAGATGATGCACGCTCAGCATGACACACTGATGATTTGTTAAAGCTTTACAATAATGTCTCACTGATAGCATACTTTTCTACACAGCTAAGATACAGTCTAGCAGGAAATCTACCAAATTTAGATGTCGCTGATCCTGCAATGTTCCAAAACCATGTGTACTACACATTTCTCCATGATGACAGAATATAGAAAGATAATGAAAGCTCACCAAATAACATCTAACAAGCACCTGCCATCTTCATCATCCATGTCAACTGTAAAGTAATAAAACGTGTTACAAAACAAGCATGACACAACAAGTAGTAAAAAAAAAAAAAGAGGCCAAACAGATAACGTTAAACGCTTGCCTGCCAAGCCTTTCCCTGAAAATCTGAGACAAATGACTGCAATAACACAGACATCATTTCAACAGTCAGTGTCATTCAGGCATTTGACAAGTGAACAGAAGGATAATGTAATACTTTATTACAGTTTGGACCTACCATGGCTATTCAATTATCATCCATACAGTATGATTACTACTAGGGTTGCAAAATTCTAGGAATATTCTTGTTAATTCCCATACTTTCCCGTTAATTCCCATGGAAAGTTTCTAATGTGGAATATTTCCAAAATTCCCCAGCTTAACTTCCCATGGAACGGAAAGTTTCAGGAAAATTTCCAGAAATTTTCCAGTCCTTTGCAACCCTAATTACTACTGCTGAAACAATAGCCTCCTACAACTAAAATTTGTACTGATATAACGTTTTAAACTTAACCTTCTTTGAAAATGATCATTTCTGAAAAGCGTAACAATATTGACAGGAGACAATGATTTGGATTATATAACATCTTAAAGGCCAATTTCACTGCCGATTTTAGATATTTAAAAACAAAGTAGAAATATACCTGCAAAACTCCCACTGAAAATTAATATGTAGCCTAATGTATTAGTGTACTGAAAATGCCCCCCCCCCTTTGATAGTAATATGCAAGAACCTATAAAACATCTCAAAAACAAACACACTACAGAACTTTATTTACTTAGGTAATACACTGCTGATTATCACCAAAAAAAATATGCAAATCGCATATTACTTCATAGTAATAAACTGACTCATTATACTAGGGTTAATCAAATCACAGTCCTCAAAGGCTGAGCCCCGCTGATTTCCCAGCCTTCCTTTACCTGTGAGTCAGGTGTGAAACCTCTGGCCAATCAGAATCAGTCATTTTTAAATTAACTACCTGGGAGAGCTGAAAACACGGCCTGGAACTGGAATTGAGAGTTTATTTGAAGAGCCGTGCATTATTTTAAGTTTGCATATACAAAAATAAATACATCCATCCATAATTTCTTACCCAATACATATCATTTCATCCAGGTAGGAGGCACCATGGACAGAATGCCGGTCCAGTGCAAAGCACACACTCATATGCACATTATGAGATGCCAATTCACCAAACCACATGGTTTTGGACAGTGGCAGAAAGCTGAAGTAGCCACTAGCTGAAGTAATCACCGCAAACACAGGGAGAGCATGTGAACAGCACGCACACACAGCCGGGCACGACACGCAGGCATCCACAACCCCAGGCCTGAGACGCCCCGCCACCCTAGAAGCAGGTAGACCTATATTTCATATTTTACTACTCTATGTGAAAACAAGCCAGTGCAACATCAATGTGCTGCGGAATTCACAAGCAAATACAGATTTGCAGGATATGAAATCAAGGACTTAATAGAACACATCACACAATACTCAAAAAAGAATCTTCATTTAGTTTTAAAACATAATTTCTATGGTAATGCAGGTTAAGATAAATCACTTGAATCTAATCCATGTTTATGTATATATTTTACAGGTTTATGATCTTGAGAAGAAAAAAAAAATCCAAATGAGCATTTCAGATATTCTGCACTCTATTCAATAAATACTGATGTCGCATGCATTGTTGTATTTTTTGGGGTAATTTAATAATAAATTGCCTTACTTATGATCAGTCCATTCAGAAATCATTCAGGCAACCTAATGCAGTTGAATAAAAAGTGATGAAGACTAACTATACATTATGTTTGATAAACCAAATGTAGGTCTCTCAAATGTACTTTATTTAATTGCATTAATAGCAAAAAAAGGCATCTAAAAGTACTGGAAACAAAATAAGTATATTCCCAAATGTCACTAAGGTAATAAGTCTGATAACTAGGGTCATGCCAGGCAGGTGCATAATAGCCAACACATCAGCAGAATACATATACAAACATTTGTATGTTCATTGAATATAACACAAAAGGTACATTTTCAGATCAAGAATAACTGCAAACAAATACATAGACCCATAATTAAGATGCATATAAAGATATATATGTAGGTAAAATCAGGAGTTCTGAAACTTTATTTGGGAGCACCTATAGTATTCTTGTTTTAGATTGAACTATTAATTAAGCTATTGATTGAATTCTGATCTATTTTCAAAATGAATCCGATTCATTTTTAGGAAGTTGTTCTCACAGCAAAGCTCCCCCCTCCCCACTTTTAACTTAATGACCCATGTACTTGGATTTTTAAATAGTTTATGGCTTGTGAACACTTTGCATCAATAATTAACCGTAATCTATTTCTACTGGTGTTGCTAGTAAAGCCAGCACACCAAACTACATTTAGTTTCCTTCCTATAGTTCAAAAGTGTTAGCACAAGGAAGACATACATTATTATTTTGTTGAAGCCCATTAATGAAAAGGACAATTGCTGGAAAACCAGGACAGTCAGGAGTTCTCTAGGAACAGGGTTTGAATTACAATCCTGCCATAACTCAGTAGTGGATACGCACATAGCCAAAAGTCACCGGACGTGCAATTCCCTCTTCTTTCTCTTTGGATTGTGCATCTGTCAGTCCGGTACTATTGAACTACAGCTCTGTTTTCCACTTTCAGTATTGGGGATTTAGGGGACAGAACATTACACTTCTAGCAATGCAGTAATACACGAGTGAAATAATCAGGCACTTCACTATAAGCTATCTAAATTTGGCGCGTCTAACAAAAATATGCTCTCTTTTGAGTCTGCAGGGGGGGTAGGTGAAAAAACACCGGCAATTCTCACAGCCAAAGTTGACCATTCCAAGCGGCAGTATAGAAAACTGAAACTGGAGATACAAAAAAGGCCATTAAACACGCATTTCTACAGGCTGTAGAGAGAACACAACATTACAATACTGCGTATGCAAATCAAACATGGTTCAGACACTCTACATTTTCAAAAACACTGACATGCAACCTTAAAGTGACAGTCCCATAATTAAGAAAACGAACCGAAACTAAATACTTCCAATTCTTTATACAATGCATCAACAACCATCACAAACCTAACCTCGAAAAATCAATCCTCTCAAATACTGGGACCCGATTTTAGATGAACACCTGGTTCGAAATCAAGAGACAACAGGCAAAGTAGGCGGAGACGAAACTTAAGAGTTGGTATCAATAAAACGCGCACTTTCAATCTCAACATAACACAAGAGGAATCATTTGCCTGCTAGGCAATAAACATTATGAAGTCTTCGTTTTTGGAGATCAGGTGAAGTAAACATGGATAAAGATCAAGGAGACAGCAAGGAATAACTCGGCTGTTATGTGTATATCTACTGCTTATTAGCTGTATGTAGCTTTGCAGCGCGTTATGTTTTCGTTGAACAACATCGTTTACTTTAAAATAGAAATGTATAGGTTTCATTGGTTGTGCAAGTGGTGAGCATCCACATATACAGCGATAATACATAAACACAGCGTATCTCTATATAAATATATAAAAGCAGGCTCAAACGCAGTAGCTGTCCAATTGGCAATGTAATCATGTTCAGATACGAATACAGGCAATTTGACAGACACATTGACATAATTTTTTATATGACAATAAGTTGATAGCACAGATAACCACATATGAATATTAATGTTGCATTCGTAAAAAAAAATATGCGTATAAATATTGAGTCAGCTAGCTAGCTAATGTTAGAGTACTCTTGGACCAGGGTATGTTTTGGAATGCGTTTTTAAAATAATCCGTCAATGTGAACGTGAAGGATTATGTCATCTTGAAGGCGCTAAATGTGGGCTTTACAGTCCGCTTGGTGTATACGAATGTTGCAGCTTTATTGGAGTAATACAGATTTATAGAGAAATTACTACATTGTAACAAACTCACCCGAGACGATAGAGGTGCAGGCAGCGCGGGGTCTCCGGCTGAGGCCCGCACGGGCTTCCTTACAGGACCCGACAGAGCAACATTCAAGATTGGGAGGTCCATTGCGTTTGCCTGTTCAATAAGCATATCATCAAGTGTGTATAGTACTGAAAATAACCGTTCTGTGAGAAAGGGAACTTTTTTACATTATCCAATCGAAAGTATACACTTTTATAATTTTCAGAACACAGCAGGCCTGGGCAAAAAAAAAGATTTATTTATTTCTATATTTACCATAAAAACTAAACAGTGAAGAAGAAAATAAATGCCACTACGCGAATTGGCCGGTACTTGTAATAGCAAAATAATACTGCTAATAAATGTTTTTTTTTTTCACCTAAATCAGTTAGTAATAATGATGCCCGAAATGTTTGTCGTTAATACTAGCATTTATAAGAGAAAATGAAATTAACATTGTTTTCAGAAACCAGCGAAAACTAAGCCTGGGATGATTTCCCATTAGTATAAAAATTAATAAAACATATCTTGCTCGTAATCATTTTAAACCTCAAGTTTATTAAAAATGCGAAATATTGTGCGTATTTTAAAACTATAACGATGTACTCGAATTATTTATATAACTATTTCTTCCTACGAATTGGTTATCCATTCCCGCATCACGGTCAAATCTATATAAATAATTTGACCTACCGAGGGCAGGGAGTTTAAGACATACAGGGAATACTGTTAAGGGGGGAAATATAAAGATGTAGTGACTTTAGCAGTTCTCACATTTCCGTTATAAACACCACATGTGTGCCAGTTTGTTATCAGGTAATGCCTATAATTACATTAAAATATTCTGTCACTCAGGCGAAAAAGCGTGCAACCGCTTCCTGGGTCCTACCTCTGTCTGTAACAAAACAGTTGTTTTCAAGGTAAAGAAATGCCGTCGTTTATTGGTTACAGATATTAAACGTCACAAAGAGGTGGGCGTTTTTTGACTGAAGCCACACCTCTCTTTGACTGGCTTAGTTTAAAGCGCTGTCGTTTGTCGGCAAATTATTAAGTGGGCGTGGCTTGAAAGTTGTTTATACTTTATCATTGGCTGTTTTTGAATCAGTGCGATTATTCTGTTTAATTTTTATCGGGCTTTAATTAAGTTTAATTCATGGATGGAGATACTATTGAACATGCGAGTTTTTGTCCCGGTGTTACGTTGTTGTATGGTGTTATAGTTTACCCTGACTGAATCGAATCATTACAACTTACATTACAGCTTATGATTCAGTACAATATTCAGTTGTGTTTTATCCTTATTCGATTTTGATGTGTTTTCTTTAACAAGAAGCCACGAACTAAAGACCAGCTTCTTTAGGAACAGACCAGAAAGCATCATTTTAACACATTTACATACAGTGCTTGTTAAATCAAAAAAATATTCGATAATTTACAAAGTTTTCATATACTCGTCCAAACCTCGAAATACGCTTTGCATGTTTTCTACAGAATATGCGTAATTAATGTGGGTGCAAGCAGCTGAATAAAGGGTTCACATATTGCAAGCAGGTTACGTGTTACTTTATTCCTTTGTTTATAAACGTTTTTCCGTTTTTCACCTTAGATCGACCTCAGCCGTTTTATTATTTATGATTTTTATTTGTTTAGTTATTTGACAGTTGTTGCTAGAGCTGCCACCCCTCCCCTACTGAAAAGTTCACAGGAAGTACAGGGTACAAGATGAGACGCCAGGCCATCGCAGCATGTGCCGTATATCCATAATGGTATTCCCTTAGGAAGCACGTTTGCCACAGTCAACTTTAAAAAATCAAATTATATTACTGAATCACTTGGTTTTTTGGATATCCAATCAGTATTTTACTATAGAAATTACATACAATAACACTGAATCACAATTTTCATATTGTCCCACTTTACTAAGTATATAAATTAAACTCTTTGGTAACTTGATACTTCAGGATATAATTTCCTGTTGAACTCAAGCATAGTAAAATTCTATATTCATGCAACAACATACCCAGAATATCATTAAAATTTATATTAAATTGGCAACATTTGTGATAAAATTTCCATTTAATATTAAGTAATATTCCAGGATAGGTTTGGGACCACCACCAGCCCCCAGCAACCTTTATTTGGACTATGGGGTACAGAAAATGTATGGATGGATTTTTGTTTTACCTATGCCCCCCAATTTTATCCCATACTTTTGGAATGTATTTACTTGTTTTTTAAACTCACCCCAGCATTTTAAGTGCTCAATAAATCATTTATGTTTGATAGCCATTGTTCAACTAGGGTTGCAAATTTTCATTAATTTGCAAATGGCCAATAACAATACCAACAATAATAAATCATGCTATACAGCGGCAAGAGCACAATAAAACGTTATGTAATTTTCATATTTGAAATAATAAAAAAAAGGTTTTCCGTTGAATGATAGTATATTTTCATTTTAAGGAGCACTAACATTGCTCTCAACAAATGAGTTTTCGGTTAAAAAAAATTGGTTTAGTTGGTAATTAAACGTAGAAAATAATTCCCTAAAGCTCTCAAACTCGAGGGCCTGTCTCTCCCTTCTGCTAGACATTTCACAGTTACCTTTAAGCTTGGCGCCCTCTAATGGTGAATCTCACATTTCCATCAAGGAATACTGTGATTTTCAAAAATGTAATTTATTGCAATATTTACAAGCAATTATTTGACCAAACATATTTCTATTGGTGGGCCATCAGGTTCTTGATTGCTTGAATTGGTTGTTCTTCTCATAGCCAGCAACCAGTAAAGATACCTGTAACAAAAAAAGTCAAATGTTACAAATCAAAGTTAAATCACATTGATGTAATCTGCACCATGTCAATCTGCATGACTACTCATCTGCATATAAAAATTCTTAAAATAAAAAAATATAGAATTTTAGTATTTTATATATAGCATATAGTACTTTTAAAAATATATTTTTTAGTGTTTATCTATGTTTTTACCATTTTAGGTGATTTTCTAAATTATGTGAAATTAATTAAAGCACCACTCATTGTTTCCGTCTTCCTATAGCATGTTAGAGCATGTTCTCATACGTGTAAGAGGAAGGCAATTGATGGGAGTCTTGGTCTAAAATGAGGACTGGGCACAGCTTCAGTCCTTACTGTCTGCATGATTGCACATTTGATGAACGTAAACATTCATGCACAGCATCTGACCAAAGTCGGGGGAGAGAGAGAGAGATCTACAGTACATGTGATTGTGTTTTGATCGCATCGTTACCACAGACACAGGAAGGCCAAGAGATGCATCACAGCCAGGCATGCAGTGAGGACAGGGGCAGATGGCAGGCGCGCTGGGCTCCCCAGCCCGTCATGGGGATGGGTCACAGGCCAGTAGTCCTCTTCCAGAAGTAGAACGTCCTCAAATATGTGGTGCAGCTCGACACAAGCTGCGGGGGGCTGAGGGATCACTGCAAGAGAAAGACAGACATTTATTGTGGGCTGAATAAAAGTGGAAAACATTTCCCAAAGAACATATATCAGTGGTGGGCAATCTTATCCAGAAAGGGCTGAGGTGTGTGTGAGTTTTCGCTCTAACTCTCTAATTAGATTACTAGTTAGACGACTCATTGGCTGAAGAGTCCTCACACCTGGGTTTGAATAGCTGATCTAAAGGTTAAACTGGAACTATGTCAGACGACTTAAAAATAATGCTGTCCTTGATGTTATTGTTTGTATTATTTTAATCTTCATTTAAAAAATAATAATATATATATATATATATATCTTTTTTTAAAAAACACATTTTTTTGTCATTTTCCCCCCCATGGGGTATCGAAGTAGTATTGTGACAGCCCTAGTCAAAATAATGTTACATATTTATTGCTATTTGAATAGCTCTCAAATCTTACCTGTAAGGTAGTAGTAGTTTCTGATAATGGAATGCTGATTAGAAAAGATCTCACACTGGTAGATGCCCTTGTGGTCAAGGCGGAGAGAAGGGATGGTATAGAGAAGATCCACCCCCATGGTCAGCTCCTTGAAGTGATCCACCAGTTCTGTTTTGACCTTAATGGGAATCCAACACATGGAACTGCTTGATTTCTGCTATTAGGAGTGACTGAGGATTTTTGTCATGATGGGCATGGTAATAGATTTGGTGTTAAATAATATAACTTTTCTTCTTTACCAATAATTAATACTTGCATAAGTATAAATTCTCATTTTTTTTCTTGCTCCTTCTCCTGGAGAAACAGGTCCTAAAAGCAGCCTCACACCTCTTCAGCAAACCGCCAGACAACCTCTATGTCAGCTGGTAAGGGGAAGGGAACACCACAGAAGATCTCCGTCCCGTTGTGTTCAACACCTGTGATGTTTGACCCTGCCACAACAGTCACACAGCACGGGTATTACATGGAGCCTGCCTGATCCAATGTTTTCTTCAGGAGAACCATCACTAACAAAGGCTTTCTACATTCATTGCAACTCAAACACTTAATAATGGCCCCTGAGAGCTGGAGAATGATGCAGTGATTTTGCCACAACAGATGGATAATGAATAGATGTGTGGGAGGTAAGAATCACTGTAGATTTCAAGGTCATTAAGATCACCTTGGGATTTTCAGTGTTAAATGGATTTTACATCTTTGATACACTTATGAAATTTTTGTGCCTGTCATTGATTAAAGTGTCTAAATGCATGTTAAAGTCATCATGTACTAATCTGTAAAAGTGATTTAAAATGGGCATCTTGCAGAAGTATACAAAAAAGTCATTCATTCATTGGTTCTATACTGCTTATCCGGAATCCATGCCTCCAACATTGTACCTGGCCTCCACGGCTCCCCCTGCAGGTGGTGAGCCCAAAGGGGGGTAGACCCATGTAATTGCTTTGGGCTATGCCAAGCTGGGCCCCATCGGTAGAGACCTGGCTACTAGGCCCCCCCCCCCCTTTGGTCTGGCTTCAGAGCGAAGCCCCGGTCTCCCCAGTCCAGGAAGGGTAACATGCTCTATAATATTACTCATCATGAGGGTGTAACTCTCACCATGGATCAATTTGCCTTCAGAGACCCTACCAGGGCCAACAGTCCCCAACGACATAGGTGCTAGGATCACAGACATACACCAACCATTCCACTATGATAAGGTGGCGATTAACGGAGAGGTTTTCAAATAGGTGATTGATTAAGTTGCCTTCGTAACTCACCTGGGCAGTCCAGAGGAAATTCACAGATTTTATACAAACAGGTGACACAATCGTAAGTAGCAGCAGATTCCTGGAAACCTATCATTGGAGTAAAGCACGTGGGAGTTATCTTTTCTAAGTAATGAAAATTGTACATATATAGTTAATGGAGGTTAAAAAAGACTATGTCTGTATAGTATTAAATCATTACATTATGTTACGTTATGCTGTATTATGAGGCAGTATGGGGGCTCAGTGAGTAACGCTGTCATTAGGGGTTTGAATCTAGCTTCTGCTCTTTGTGAGAGTTTAAGTTCTACTCCATGTTACGTGCCTTTTCACCCGCAGTCCAAAGACATGCAATTAAGCTAAATGGCATCTCTCAATTACCCAGAGTGAGTGCGTATGTGCCCTGCGATGTAAGGTACCCCTTGTGATATACTGTACCCTTGCCTTGTGCTCTGTGCTGTATCCAGGAAAAGCAATTAGAAGATGGATGTACAGTCAAACCTCGGATTGCAAGTAACTTGGTTTGCGAGTGTTTCGCAAGACAAGCAAAATTTAAAAATAAATTTTAACTTGATAAACGAGCGAGGTCTTGCAATACGAGTATTACGTATACATGTCTGTCTAGCGTCACGTGATCACAGCTGAGCCAATGGTTCTTCTATCTCTCTCTCTCGCTGCGGGATTGTAGGTAATCGTTTCCTCACTCGTATAGTCAAAATTTAGTAGAAAAGCACCACCCGAATAAGGGTGTAGCAGTGCGAGTGATGAATCTGTTTAAAGACAATGCAATTTTCACGAAATCGAAAAGGAGGCAGAAGCAGCTGTCATTGGATAGGTTCCTTGTTAAAGTCACACAAAAAGAAAAAGATTCCAGTGAACCAACAGATAGCAGTGATTCCGTTAGTTATAGTGAAAGTCGTCCTACAAAGTAATTCTCCTCCTCTCCTCTCTCCCTCACACCATCCACGATTCTTTTCAAAGGTAAAGTGCAGGTTAATTTGTTTTATGTATTTTTACTTTATATTTTGTATCAATCATTTTTATATGAATATTTTTTGGTTGTGGAACGAATCATCTGAGTTTCCATTATTTTTAATGGGAAAATTCACTTTGATATACGAGTGTTTTGGATTACGAGCACGTTTCCGGAATGAATTATGCTCGCAATCCAAGATTTTACTGTATATTAATCAAAAGTAGTAAAATTGTTTTAAATCTCTCAGGTCTTTTTTTCCATTATGGTGAAGCTTTCAGGATTCTGTTCATGTGTCTGGTCACCTTTATCATGCATACTGTAATTTGATGTGTATAGCTAATGCAGTGACTGATTTTCCAATTTATTTTTGTTAAAAGGACAGAGGGATAGTTAGAGCTGATGAAGTATTACACAGTGAGAAAATACTCTGAGAAGAGGCAATGATGGTTGTAGAAGGAAGTTAAACTCACCACATGGGGGAACACATTCAATAGCTGTGAGAGAATCAGAAAGACAATAATAATAATAATAATATTGACACAGGGCAGCACAGTGGGCTCGAACTGGCGACTTTCTGATCACAGCACAGAGGCTTAGCCCGCCAAGAAATAGCCCCTACTGTAAAGATGCTGTGGATAGACATTGTTTGCTTAAATAAAAATATATGGCTGATGTGGACCTGAACTCCCAATTTGAATGATGTAATTTGTAGGCACAACACTGATCAAGGTAAAATAAGCCAGAGATCATCCACTGAAAGTGAAATCTTGCAGGATCATTTGGTGTGGGAGCAGGTAAGGCGTTGGAGTTTATAAAAAGTCAAGAGAGTTACACATAAAATGAAAATGAGCAGCAGTCACCTCTAGGCAGTCTGGAGGCCTCTGCGATAAAACTGTCTGCAGCCTTCTGTAACCTGTCCTCATAGACAAAGTCTGAATAAACACATGGGAAACAGAGAAGAGTCAAGGCTCTCAATGGTATTCATGGCTGTATCAGATCCTCAGGGCATCTACACCCCTTCTACTGAACTGGGGGTGGCCAATCTTATCCACAAAGAGCTGGTGTGTTTGCAGGTTTTTGGGATAACCTTTAAGTCAGCTCTTCAAACCCAGGTGTGAGGACTCTTCAGGGTTCCCCCAATTCTGGCAGAATAAATTTTCATGACTTTTCCAGTACCATAAGAAAATTTTCCAAAACCCACAAGTTTGTAAAACTAAAGCAGATAGAACAGTATTTGTTAACTATTGACTTCCGTTTGTACATTTCCGTCAGCGCATTGCGGAATGAAGCGGGAAACAAAAATGTAAGGCTAGTTTCCAAAACTTTTCCTCTCTATCCAAGAATTCCAAAACTTATCCAGGGCCTTGAAAAAATATTTCAAAATTCCAAAACTTTTCCAGGTTTTCCATGACCGCGGGTACCCTGACTCTTCAGCCAGTCAGTCCTCTATTTAGTAATCTAAGCAGCAAAAACCCACATACACAGCAGCCCTTTCTGGATAAGACTGCCCACCCCAGCACTAAAACTTTTCACTCTAACATCTCTCTCCAATTCTCCCCAACACCCAAGAAAGTAAAATGACCCATGAATCAGATAGAGGGTGTTACTAGGTACCATAGTGATTGGTTGTCTCAAACTCCTTGATGAGAGGAGTGATCTGCGCCAGCATGATGTTCCTCAGCTCATCCTCATAGCCTCCAGCTGAAGAAAATGATCAGCAACACAAAAAACAAACACACTGGCTAATCATACCCTTGGCCATAAGTGGGAATTAGCGGGAGAACATTTTAAAACGAATTTGAGGAAACACTTCTTTACACAGCATGTAGTTGGAGTATGGAATAGTCTTCCTGCTAGTGTAGCGCAAGCTAAAACCCGGGTTCCTTTAAATCAGAGCTAGATAAGATTTGAACAAATCTGAGCTATTAGTTAAGTTCTCCTCAAACGAGTTTGATGGGCTGAATGGCCCCCTCTCTTTTGTAAATTTCTTATGTTCTTAATTATTTTAAATTATGGATTTTAATATCATAAACTGTACCACTTATGTGACCAGTTCTGTATAGTTTAAAATGCACTCATGTATAGCTTGGTTTTAAATGGCAAAGTTATCTAATAAATAAAAACACAAATTAATTAAAAGGGCCGAATCTCACCAACATGCGCGGCTTGAATGACTTTCGTATTGTTGTTGAAAATTCGGTAGATGGCTTTGAAACAATGGTCCAAATTTACTATGTCATATCCAGAAAGAATGTAACCTTTGCATAGTCGACTAGACTCATCAGCATCTACGAAGCACTGGAAACAACTGAGACCTGAATCCACAAGGGCATAGAGAACCAGCCCCCATACAATCACTTTCCCCATCTGAATAACGTGAACTATCTCGGCATTACAGGTGTACACGATTCGGCAGAATAACGCTCAGATGGGATGTATGATCATCACAATGGTCGGGGAAAGAAGGACCCAGCATGCATATCTACAACTAGCCGTATACCTCAGACCCTATCGACGTTGTTTTTGGCACTTTGGATTCATATGACGCGGTTATTATTCAATAATGAAGGCCGTTGGGCAAAAAACGCGAGACAGAATACGTATCGACAAGGCATTTTTTTGCTCCCTAGACACGGCATTTTTCACTCTGTACGTTTCCCACACCGTAATTTTTACCCTCTAGTCACGGTAATTAATCTGCAGAACGATTTCCCTAGTGTTTGCGTCCCTTCCCCATTCAGGCCGTCGTCGACTAACGACCTACAGTATGCGACTTAAGCCAGAATTGTTAAAGGGTGATCAAGTTAGTCTATTTTATTTTGCGCATGCGGAGTTCTGAGGCTCGCGTGGACCAGACGGCCTGAAAGGGCGGTCGCAGTTGGATATTGCTGCACGACTGCGCCGCCTCTGGCAGCGCCAGCGTATGACAGTGTCTGATCAAACTACCGGCAGCAATGAACTAAGAAAACGATGAAAAAAAGGTTTAAAAAACACCAAGCAGTGTGATTTAAAGATAATTTTATTATACACTATACTATACAAATGATTATTTTTGCAAATAAACCGCGATGGCGGTCGTAAGGCGACGACGACAGGTATTTCAGTGTCGATTAGCGCATCCCCACCACAAACCCTTCCTATACGTTTCGAGAGGCGGTAGGATTCGTAAGTTTGCTACCAGTTTCTGATCAATAGCAAATATTTTTTATTTTATTAGGTGGCTGGTGAGTGATGGGCAGAAACGTCCCTCCACCGTCCATAACGTTAACACGTTAGGTGGGTAGGCGGGCGCGAGGAACTACTAAAGCCGCAAATTAAGTTTGTCTGGGTCTAAATACATAAAATTGGCCAAATTGGAGCTAACAATTCGCCTTGCCCGCCGGAGGAAAATATATCGGCTAGAAATAGATAAGACACCGATGAATGAATGAACGTTAAAGGTGAATATCTAAAAAAACATCTGTTTCAGTAACAGTATAGTGCTCAATAATTCAAAATATTAATTGACATGCAACAGTAATTTCAATAGAGAAAAGCAAAACCCAGTATCAGAATAATAAATTAAGCACCATTAGGCGAACTGTCACTACTAAGTGTCTGTTTAGATCATCCGACGGTTTGGATTATCTTACTATAACCACTACTTACTGACAGCGAAATCATAACAATATGCACCATATGTGCAGCCCCGAAGAGGTTTTAGTTATTGGGACTAAATGTGCTCGGATTGCACTTGAATCTCTGACTCTAAATAAGCTGTTTAGCCCAGTTAGGAATTTTCCGTTAGTTGCGCATGATCAGAACATCAGACTTTGGGGGATATTAATATACGATCAGAATAGCGGAGTGCGGGAGTTGGGTTGCAAACTCTAATTTCTTTTGCTTCAAAAATAAAGATTTCCAAGTAGAGCTGTAAATTCAGAGTCTGGATAAATAGCTATATGGGTTGGTTTTAGTTAACTGCAATCTACATTGCAGAAGTCTGCAAATATTTTTCGCACAGCTAGCTACGTATATCTGCTTCAAAATCGTTAATATAAAGTTGGTACAATTTCAGTTTATTATTATTTAGATAGGAAAGAGACGTTTTTTTGTTGATGTCTCGCAGACTGAAAGGACAGATTGTTTTTAGTGCGTATGTAAATTGGAGCTTAATTGGGACAGGTTACAGTTCGTTTATTTTTAGTTTCACTGATTTACTGAAAATTAAGGAAGATAATTCGTACTTTTTTTTAGTAAAGTACATCATATTGTGTTAATTAATGTAAGATGTTACGAAATGCTTCTTTTGTATTGACGTAAGGTTTAGTTATACCTAACGAATTTAAGTCAGTTATTCGGTCAAAAATAGCTAGACAACAATCTGTAATAGTGTTAGCAACAGGAGGAATATGTGAAAAATGGTGACGTTGCAATTATAACACCAGCTGTTGTAATAATAACGTACGCTTTATTTCTTTTGTATACTTAGTTATACAATTTGAGAGCATAATCAAAGAATTTAAGTTTGCACGTTTTTGTATTTATGGATGTGTAGAAATGGAACTTCAGGAGGACACTGTATGTCAGGAGAGATGGTGTGATGCTCAGGTTGGGGGTGAATCCGTCTGTGACGGTTCTAATTTGTGTTTGCCGCTCCATTCTGGCGATCATGCAGACGACGATAGTATTTTCATTACCTCTCTCACACCACCACTACCCTCACCACCCAATTTACATGCAGAAAAAAATCCGGAGACAGATGGAGATTATGGTGAGTGTTGGTATGTCTCTCACTGATATTACCATTTAGAGGATTGTGTGGTGAGTTGTTGGATTTATTAACTGGTGAAGGTTTTGCTTTTTGTGTCTTTTTATGTCTGGATACAGTAAGTGTATTTTAAAATGTTAGATACTGAAGTATAGTAGCCAATAATTCATTGTTTTCTTTTCAGCATCAACAGTAGTGATTTCAGACACCCCATCTGATGTGCTCCTAGGGATGAACGAAGATCCGCTATGGATGTCCAAGGCAGTGGCAGTGTGGCCTGTCAGTGCCACACCTCAGAAGTGCTGTCTTTGCGGTAAAGTTTTTGGCTCGGTTAGTGGCCTCCACAAACACCAGCTTACTCATCTGCAAGACAGACCACACGAGTGCCCAGTCTGCAAACGGGGATTTAAGCGCAGTGATCATCTGTAAGTCTTAAACCAATTTTCTTACAGAACACTATATTCATTGTTGTAATTGTGTTGTGTGTGCGTGTGCGTGTGTATATGTATATATATATATATATATATATATATAGAGAGAGAGAGAGAGAGAGAGAGCGAGCATTTAATATGTAGCTAAAATGGTTTATTTGTTTGTTTTTGCCTTTCAGAAATGTCCATCTTTTGACACATCAGAAGAGGAAGCAGTTTAGAAGCAGTAAGCCAGCCTTTCAGAAGAGCTATTGTGACAACCAGCCATTGAAATACCACCTTGTACCAAGCCCTTCTGCAAGCACTTTCTGTGATCTTTCCAAGACCAGTCCAACCCAGTGGAAGGGTCGGTTTGCAGATGGAGACCCATTATTGGGTAATTTAACAGATGGCACCAATTATCACTCCATTTATCTCTCTCCGCCCAAACCAGCGTCTGACACTCAACTCTGCGGCACTGGTTCTGCATGTTTAAACAGCTGTGGCGATTATACCAGCTTTGTTTCTTTAGGTGACTCTGGGGCAATGAGTTTCTCAAGGTCAAGTGTAACCGAGGTGCTGGATCCTTGGAGCCAAGGTGAAAATAGAGGCCTCTGTGATGGTGATGATGATGAGCCAAACCCACCTTTAGTGACATGTGCTGCTCCCAAGCAGAACCCTGACAAGAAGCCAGAATCCAACACCTTTGTAGGGCCTCAGTATGGGGAAAGTGACGTGAATATCCCTGTATCAAAATTTCAAGCCCTTGAAGAGATTCTGTTGTTTCAACCCTTTATGGAGGAACAGAGTTTAGGAGAGAATATTCCTGCAGAGTCAGCATCTCCTAAAAGACTCACGCAGAGTCGTTCTGCCATTATGTTTAAGCAAGCACCATATCAGTCTAAGCAGGAGTTTAAGAAACTGTCCCTTTTGGAGCCTCAGCCTCATTCATTTCCTGTCCTCAAAGGATCTGCTTTTTCAGAAACGATGTCAGCTCCAAATTCCATGCCTGATAATATGGACGACCCTCTTCTTAACTATTCTGACCAAGCACAGTCTGCCCACGGTCACATCCCAGTTATGCTACCCTCTGTTCTTGCTTCTTCCTACTCCTGTGAAATGGTACCACCAGAAGCTCCCTCTGCCAAATCCCCAAAGAAAGACAGCAGGAAGAGGGCAAGGAAGACAAAAGTCAAAGAGACCAATCTTCTAGCCCCGCCCCATCCGCTCTCTCGTCCAGACGTGCATTATGCTTCCCGACGCCCACGGTTGCATCCTCTGCAACTCATTTCCCCAAGTCAGGTGGCCTTGGCCTCTTTCAGTGCCATAAGCGCTGCTGGATTGACCTCTTGTGTGCCCTTCAAGGTGAGCATCTAATCCAGAGCCCCTAAATCTCCTTTCCATTGTTAATGTAACATGAACACCACAAAGGATGAAGGATGGCAAAAACAGTAAGATGTACTTTTTGATTACTATAAATAACACGGATAAACAGAACTCTCATTTTAACAAACAAAATTGAGAAAATGTATGTCCTTTTGATTTGAATAGGTGAATAACTCAGCAGGGGATCAACTAGACACTTGTAATAGGTAAGGATGAGGTAGTGATGCATCCATGAAGCTTTGGAGAAACATTTTGCTCATTTTGCAATAATGCACTAAATCATAAGAGAATTTATGACCTTAGAAATCAATAAGGGGTTTGAGATGATGTGGTGACGCTTCCTCTTTCAGCGAGCAAGCTCTTCCCCAACCTTCAGAAGACAGCATCCAGAACTTTCCACTAGGTGAACCTAGCTGGACTAGTGCTAAAGAGGGTTTTACTGATGAAATGCAGGTATAGTGACTTTTATGTGTATTTTCACTGGAGGCTAAGGACTTGCGTGTAATCGAATGAAAAATTTATTACATTGGTGTTATCCTTTAATTTAGGGTAAGAAAATGGGTTCAGAAGCAGGACATTTGCAGGTGCAGAAGGCCCCATGTGTGGATGACAAGATTTCTGTGATGCCCCTGGTTATTCCTGTATCAGTTCCAGTTTCAGAGAGGACACAGGTACATCACATGATCCTGGATCGCTGGCAATAAGCACAATAAATCAAGAATTCTTATGGAATAAAGATAACATCCAGTATTGTCCTCAGGTGCATAGGACTCAGGAAGATATTTGGTAACGCTTTGCATTAACTGCACCTTCATAATGCTTTTATATTACATTCATAAAACGTTCAGTACACCTTCATAATGTATTCATTAAGCATTCATAAAGTTCCTAACATCCCTTAACAGCTGTAATATACATTAATAACAGACATTATATAATAATAACAATCATTATAATTGTAAAATCATGTAATGTTTGTTATTAATGTATATTATGTATGTATATTACATTAAAGGGATGTAAGGATGTTATGGTATACTTACATACTGCTTATGAATGTTCTATGAATGCATTATGAAGGTGCAGTTAATGCAAAGCGTTACCAGATATTTTAATAGAATATAGTAAATCAGTCAGTGCATTTGAATATCTTGAACATCTTTTTCTATTGGCCAAGGCATTTGCCTCCACTCAGTCATTTTATTTGTGTTTCAGATTGTTTTAGCAGTCTTAAAGTCATGAACGCTAGTTGCCTACTTTAAATCATAATGTTTTTCTTAACTGTCCCAAACAGGAAGGAAAAGGACTTGGCAGTACAAGGGCTTCAAAGAAGTCTCCTAACCTTAAATTCCAGAAGACGCTGTTTATCCCCAGTCCCACCGGCCCGCGTAGCTCCATGCCGCGTGACTTTGCGGGGGACACCGTGATTGGCCAGCAGTGGTGGGCAGCCGGTGCCTACCCCAGTCAGCTGCGCTCCCCTGTCTACTTGGGCGAGCACCTCCTGAACCCCAGCTTTGAGCCCCCACCTTACACACCCCCGCCCATGCTGAGTCCGCTCCGCCCTGGCACCGGGCTCTACTTCAGCACCCTGCCGCCCTCACAGCCCTGCCCCCCCCCTCCTCCTCCTCCTAGCACTTACACAGCTACCCTGGGTTTGTATCACCACAGCCACTGACTGGGGTCACGTTTCCACAACACTAGTACTAGTAATGCATAATTCTATATAGACAATAATTTGGCTTATTATATAGCTATGCTAAATCAAAACTGATAAATATTCAGTTACATTAAAGATTTACCCAGGGGTGCAGTGGGTGAAACCTCTTCTTATTTGAACATATTAAGTACAATAAAACTGAATAATACTGTATAGTTATATTGCCCAGTGATGGATTGGCACCCTGTCCTGGATTGTTTCCTACCTTGTGCCCGTAGCCTCCGGACCCCTGCAATCCTGAATAGGACAAGCGCTTACAGAAAATGGATGTATAGCTATATTTGAAAATGTGACGTGTTAGTCTTAGCAATGTGTAATGATAATTTATTATAAATGTAATTACTTTTTACTAGTTTTTTTTACTAATGTATTTATCTGGATGAATGACTGGTCAGGCTCTCGCACCTTGTGCCCTGCACCCCCCAGGGAGAAAAACCTTAGAGTCACCTATGATCAGTAGAAAAACAATACTGTCATTTGTAGCTATTTTCTGTATTAGGGAATTCCATGTCTGCTCATCCTATTAGATAAAACATATGAGTTCATAATTTAATAATAAAAACGATCGGCATTCGTTATGCTCTTGTTCTCTGCTTTTCAGACATGGCCGATGGGATCTCTCTTGTGATGGATGACACTATTGTCACTATAGAACCGTGAGTTCTCAGTGCTTTGACAATCATTGTAATGACTGCCATTCATCAGTCTTTTGAATAAGATTATTTTTAGTGGATGTCTGTGAATTCAGTTTGGCCTGTTTATATAGTACATCATAATGGTTATCTAACCCACAGACGTAGGAAAGTTGATCAGATATGAATGAAAATGCATAAAATATGAATAATTGTGATGCACATTTATTTACTCGGATTAGTGTCAGGTGATTTCTTCCTGATTTATTGTTGCAGCTCCAGCATGACCTATGTGAACAGACTCTGTTGTTTGCAGGAGAATCAATGTGGGTTCTCAGTTCCAAGCAGAGATCCCTCCACTGCAAAATCTGCTGCTAATCCTGTATGATGAGCATCCAGCACAGCTGGTCTGGGCCCCCTGGGGGGATATCGATAGCAATACAGAAACAGAGAAAAGAGGTGCGTGCATAGACTCAGAAAATGCTAGGCTGAATGCCAGCCACATACACCATTTTTAAATATATTTTTACTGGTCTGTTTAGTTTTAAAAGGCCTTGTGTATTCTTTATTCTTTCACAAAATTTTTTTTTTTTATAATATTTATATTACATTCAGAATGGGTAGGGTGTGTCTCAGTGGGCTAAGCCTCTGTGCCTGTAATCAGAAGGTTGCTGGTTCAAACCTGACTTCGGCAGAGTTGTCATATCTGTGGACCCTTGGGTAATACCCTTAACCCCCAGCTTCCTGGGTGATGCTGGGGTAGGCAAATTGAGAATTTCCCATGGGGAATAATGAATTATTATCTGCTTTATGCCCTGGGGGGTTGAGCAGCCAGCTGCCCTTTGACCCCCAGAGGTTTTTTATTTTCCTTGCTTGGGAGTTTTTGGTTCCTCTTCTCCCTTGTCATCTAGCTTTCTTTTATTTCTTTGTCTTTCCGTTTCACTGTTTTTGTCTTGTTCTCTATTTATGACGTTGCACTTATCACAACACACCCATGTAAAGTGCCTTGGGGCGAACTCTGTTGTGAGAGGCGCTATATAGAAATGAATTGAATTGAATTGAATTATAAAGAAATTTAAGATATACCCAAAATAATTCATTCAGGCTATTGAACATAATGATTTGGGGTTGACCAATAATCACATGTACAGAAATAGCTGTAAGTATATTAACTTTCTACTTTATTGAGGTTTAAAAACCACAATGAATCATTGCGTACGACTTTATTTTTCAGTGACGGCCCTGCTGGACTTGTCATGTTCCAGTGTGTTACCAGGAGGGGGCACCAACACAGAATTGGCTCTGCATTGCTTACATGTGGGACAGGGAGATGTCCTGGTATGGAAATAGTTTCATTCACTGTTAATCCATTTATCCATTCATTTTCTTTCAACACTGTTACTGTTAATTAAGTTACTATTTCACTAGTCATTTACTCACATAATTTATTTTAGGCTGCCCTGGAGTTACTTTTAATCAAGGAAGACTACCTTTCTTCTTCCTATCCCTTACGAAATTACCACTATTCAGGTAATAATCACATCGCTCTATAAGCTCATGAGAAACCCACAGAGAGACAGTGAATATTAGTTTTTAATTTCAGAAATGAATGGATGAATATTCTTCATTTCAAGATTAATGTACCAAACATAAAAGCACATAGAGTCTGGCTGTTAGGATTCTGAGAGAAGCTAACAAGGTGACTGTTTATCAGGCTCAGATTGTTGGAGTCCTCAGGAAAAAAGACTGTTCTGTAAAGCTCTGGTGACCCACGGCAAGAACTTCCAACTCATTCAAAATATGGTGAGAGCTGTCAAATCATACAACCATATGACTCATTGACATACGTGCGCAGTAAGCTGCCATTAATGAGCATCTGAGGAGCACAAAGGGTTAACATACAGAGTGTTTCCCAGTTGCAGAACAAGTCTGCAGCACAGTGTGTGGAGTATTATTATGCCATGAAGAAACTACAAAAATTCAAGCAGCGAATCCAAGGGGCAGCAAGGAAAGATCGATTTACAGAACCTGTAAGTAAAACCCGATACGTAAATATACTCTCTACTTCAGTACCCTGCCGCCCTCCTCCTCCTCCTAGCACTTTACACAGCTACCCTGGGTTTGTATCACCACTGGCAGTGGCCTCTTTCAGCAGGATAATGCATCCTGCCGCACTGCAAAAATTGCTCAGGAATGGTTTCAGGAACATGAAAATGAGTTCAAGGTGTTTATTTGGCCTCCAAACTCCCCAGATCTCAATCCGATCAAGCATCTGTGGGATGTGCTGGACCAACAAGTGTAATCCATGAAGGCCCCACCTCACAGGTTACAGGACTTAAAGGATCTGCTGCTATCATTTAAGTGGCAGATACCACAGGGCACCTTCAGAGCCCTCAACGGGTCAGAGTTGTTTTGGCAGCACGAGGGGACAACACATTATTAGGCAGGCAGTTTTAGTGCTGCGGTTGATCGGCGTATAGTTTTGTGCTGAAATCCACTCTGAGTTCTTCCCAGTAGTTTAGTAAGAAGGCCCATTTATGTAAACATGAATCATGTTGAAGGAAATTCCATTATAAGTGGGGTTAGTAATGAAGTGTGATTCATCCAAGAATTCACCACATTTCTGTGACAGAAAATGGAATTGCCTGGAGGCCAAGTGGAGTATTCCGTTAAACATGGAGCCCCCCAAAAACACTTAAGTCCAACAGGAGCTCAGGTTTTGCCAGCCAGTCATATTGAGTTGAAGTACATCTGTGAGGTGTGTGGCCGGTGAGTAGATCAGCCTCATAGGTTCCTCAGGGAAAGTACAGCCTCGCCCATAAGATTTTTCACACAGTTTTGTGTTTGTTTTGTACACATCTTCTGCATCTTTGCTCTTAGGGGCTTTGAGAAGATTAAAAGTCGCAGCGCCCATATGAAGACTCACCGGAACCAAGAAAGGGCGTTTCGAGGTAGCAACAGCTTGCCTAGTTGCTATTCAGGAGAGGCTGGGCTATGGTCAGGTCTGGAGAGCAGAAGCTCCTTTCATTTTCATAGTTAAGGCAAATTAAGGCCTGGCACACGTTCAAGATGTAACTGTTTGCAAAGATTAGCACGGTCTCTTATCTCCCTCACACTGGTAAACAATACAAAGGATCTGAATATTCTGAATAATATTTGAAACTATGTAGAAGCAGGGTAAGTGACAGAAACAGAATTTGGTGCATGCTATAATCCATATCTATTCCGACCCACATTTGAAGATGAAGAAGTCTAACCAGATCAACATGGTAATTCCTTCATACCCATGTTACTATGACGAAGTGCACCTTTGTGAGCACAAACCAGAATCTGGCCATAATTCTGGTAAAATTTAAAGAAAATGATCTGATTACAATGCCTCCCCATTGTTTGCCATTTTTATTGTCTAATATAACAATGCTGTTTAGTGTTGTAGTTTGTTCATGTTATGAAAACATTGTTTTTGGCCTTTTTTCAAATTACAGCTCTTAAGATTTCTCCAGGGTCCCATTATCTTAGTGATAAATGTATAACAAATTAATATGTCATTTAAGATGTGATTAAGATTTAAGAAATAAACATTTTTGTAATATGCATATCCATAAATATGATTTAACATAATACCATTTCATATTTCTGTAAAAATTTGAACTGTGGTCTTTGTAGGCCTCACCTGGATACCTCTCATCTAAAGGAAGTTTTAAATTCCTGAAGGAGAACATATGTTCAGTGCGGTTTGCTACTTTAAATGTGTTGATTATTATGTAAACCTGTTATTATTATTCATTGTTCTCTGAAAACAAATAAATAACAGAATGTCTGTCTGTAATGTGCATATTAAAAAAGGGACACAACATTGTTCTACGCAAGAGGGATGCTTTATACAACAATATTAACATAAAGACATTGCCTTTGTAATCACACATTCTGCTTATGTTTCAGTCTGATGGATGTTACATATTGCTAATAATTACATTTTAGGCCTGATGGCCAGTCGAGCCTGGAATTTACAAGAATACTTATGTTTGTAGTTAATTAAAAGCATGTCAGCTCATTGTCAACAGAAAACACAAATAAATGAATGAGAGCCTGATGAAAGTAAAGGACCCTGTTCAGGATGCCCCCTGCTTGTGGGACCAGGGTTATTAAAAACCAAAACTCTATGGACACATTTTCGTTAACTGAAATAAAGTGTAAATATGAAGTTAAAAACTACAACTAAACAAAAACTATAAAAATATTGCTTCCCAAAGTAACAAATAAAAACAAATATCACATGCTTTCCGTTACTGTTTTTTTTTTAAAAAAAAAACTATTTAGCTAAAGTAATGGTTTTTTAAGCTTTCCTCCTTGATGGAAGTCATTTCAGGAAATGTAATCCAGTATATTGCCCACAGATGACCATTAATACCTGGAACATGTTTTGCCCACTTTAAGGACATTAGTACATGATACGCTCTGTATTTATTTAATATTCTCTGAAGATCAGACACATAAAATAACTACAACTTTCAGTCTGTCCCTGGAAATAAAATTACTAAAACTAAAACTACACTGGATTTCAATTGAAAATTGAAAAAAGTATAAAAATAAAAACTAAATTTAAAAATCAAAATTATACAAAGGAATTGGCTCCAGTCTTATCAGATGCCGTAAGCTGGTGTTTGGCTCTAAGGGTTACGAGGACTCATAATCACAAGGTCATTGGTTTGAATCCTATGGTCAGATGAGTGGTTTCAGTATTGGGGCCTTAACCCCAGTTAGCTCCAGGGACTGACTGACCTGCTTTCTCAATATCACCCTTTGAATAAAAGCATTTAATAAACAAACGTGTTACAGGTGGGGAGTGGTTGCTGAACATGCAAAAACTTGTGTTTAAAACGTTTACCTATTAATCATTTGCATTAACAACATTTATGGGGGAAACCTTGCTAAAATACAACACAATTGTCATAGTATCCAATATTCACACAAATACATATAGAAGTTTCTATATTTAATTTAAACTTTATTTACGCACATTTCATTATTTACATATTACTACCTTTCTCAAAGAACTGTAAATGTTTCTTTAAAATGGTGAAATGTTTATGTAAATTTTATAATGCTGTTTATTAGATTCCATAGAATATTCTAAAGTAGTTTTAGAGGGAGCAGATCCTTCATAACTCTACCCAAGCAGTGGATTTTCTGGCCATTAAGAGCAGCAAACTAGTTTTACAATAAAGCTGCCCATCTTAGTAAAGTTTCACCAGACAAGGCTACAAAGTGTATAGTTACTACACAAGCGTAAACCTAGAGTCTTAGTCGTTAGGAAATGTGAAATTAATTCGGTAGGTAAGTGCACCGGTAAAGAGGAAATGAAAATAGGCTAGAAAAAATCACTAGATATAACTGTGCTTCTCTTATCTGCCATTTCTCTTATAATCCTGAAAAATTTTGCCGTCTGCCGATAACCTTCATCCCACGACTTTTGAAGAAAGCCTGGTACATGGAGGAATCACAGGTCGTCTCCGCCCACCCAGGCCTTGTTGTCATAAGAAACTAATGACTGATACAGACTTTCTCGGGTCTGCTGCGTACTGTGACTATGAACACTGCTGTTACTGACATTATCCTGCTGACCTCCCTTCAAGTTCTCCACATAGTCACTGTTCTGATGCAGAAAGAGAACGTGATCTAGGTGCTGTGGACCCAGTGTAGCCCTCCTTTGAAAAACTGAGGCTTCCATGGGGGCGAAAGCCCTGTCCGCCGGTACAGCCGTAGCGGGAATGGCGAGGTACTTCCGCGCCAGTCTGGCTACGGCGGGGAACCGGTGCTCCTTAGCGCGCCACCAGTGTAACGGCGACAGGCTACGCTTGCACAGCGGTTCTGCAATGTAGTTCTCCAGTTGCTGATGAATCTCCGGCATCCTCTCGGTGGGGTCTTCACCCAGCAAGATGTCGTACATGCTCTGGGGTACTGGGGAAGCACGCTCGCGCGAGGCCACTGGCACATCACCTTTCGGCTGACTCCCCAGGCCCGTCCCACTGCTCGCTCTGTTAGGACCCCTCTCCAGCCTACAGTCGCCAGCCGGTGTTGGGGCATTAAGGGTAGCTGGGGTCACGGTATCCTGTTGCTTCAGCAAAATGACGTCACTTTCTTCGGCAGAACCACAGGACACCGGGGAATCCAAAGGGGGCACGGAGGCTGTGGACAGAGTGTCCCCCAATCCCAACGCCAGGTCCGTCCTCGGTCCTGCTGTAATCTCCTCCTCGTCATCTTCTACTCCTACTCTATCATTATCCCTTTCCCCATCGTCTACATACGCCTGAGCGGATAACAGGTCTTTGACTTTGTCGTGCAGTTTGCTACGCGCGTGTGGGCTAAGAAACCGTAGCTCTTTGAACCTGGGGTCTAGGAAAGAGGAAAGGACTGCCGGGCTGTCCAAGAGGACGTCCTCTTCCCTGAGCCTCCATCGTTGCTCCATTCCCAAACGCACCTTTTCCATGACGCACTGGGCCACTGCGCAGCTACTCTCCGACATGCGCTGGCCTAGGAGACGGGACACCCCGTGGAGACAGGGCATGAGGGCTGAGATGGGGCCATTTGTGTCTTCGCTGAGGAAAGAGGCAGCAATGCGTACCGTCTTCAGCACAGGCACCAGCTCCTGTAGGAGCCGCCACTGGTGGTCAGCCAAATTGGGGGCGGCTTTTTGCTCCTCCAGAACCGAGCTCACCACCCACTTCAGCTCCAAAAGGCTCTCACACATGTCAATGGCTGTGGCCCACCGTCCCGGGTCATCCAGCAGCAGCTGTGCACCAGCCTTGTTCGCAGCCTCTGCTTTATGGCTCAAAGCAGCAGCGGCATGCACGTCATGCTGGAAGTGCGAGATGATCCTGCGGGCTGCTCCCAGTGCCTGCCTCACCGGCTCCTCTCTGAGACCCTCCTGAACACACAGCTTAAGAGATTCTCCCGCACAGTGGAGCGCAACCCAGCCCATGGGCAGATTCTGAGCACCCGCTTGACTGGGGCGAATGAAATTATGTGCGGTCTCCGACTGTTTGTCCTGCTGTTTCTGAGCGCCTGGCTGGCCCACTTCAGAGGCCCAAGGTGTGTCATGGACCACGCAGAAGACAAAGCTTTCAGGGAGGCGGAATTCAGACAACACTTCCCTTAGAGTGTCCATGAGCTGGGCATCTCCTCGTGTGGCAGCGTCTTCCTCGAACTCTGGCATCGGACGGGTCTCTAGCACACAGCGGGCTAAACGCCAGTCCTTGTCGACAAAATGCGCACTTACAGTAGAGTATAGCTGCCCTCCACCTCCCACCCCACAGCCTGCCACTGAGCGCCAGCGTTCGGTACACAGCGCCAGGCAACGAGGCGCCAAGCTGGCCTGCAAATGGTGCTTCAGGTGCTGTTTAAGGACATGGTAGCGGTGCCAAAGCAGGCTGCCGAGCTGAGTCGGCGAAGGCACGTGATAGTGCGGCTCTAAGCAGCCTAAAAGCAGCCGAAAACCTCTCTCCTCCACGACGGAGAGCGGCTGCAGGTCTCGGAAGACCATCTCCAGGATGAGCTCAGTCAAGAGACTCGCTCGCTTGCTACTGCAACCGCTGGTGCTGGTGTCGCTGGTCCCAAAATTCGGCCCGGTGGCGTTGCTCTCGGGCTGCACAAATCCAGAGTGTGAGGGCTGAGCCGCATCTTGATCTTGGCTAGACACGTTTGAGGCACAACCTCCGGCACTGTTGGCGACACATGTGGTCCGTGCCCGTTTGGCATCCCCAGACTCTGGCAAAACATCAGCATCCTGGAGCTCCTCTTTTACCACCAGTGAAACCACCGGCTGAAGCATACATGTAGAGCCTGTGCTGGGTGTTATAGTGTTGCTGGTGGGGAAATTTGACTGTGGCACTGGTGGCAGCAATGTGCCCGAGACAGAAGCTACCATTGTGTTAGTGGGCACAGGGCCGTTATCTCGGATACTGTGTTTGCGGACGAGGTGCTCCCTCATTGTAGTGGTGCTGTTGTGGAACGACAACTGCTTCTTGCAGACATTGCACTCCACATGAGTCTCACTCAGCTGTGTGTAATAATTCCATACTTTGGACTTGCGCCGATCAACTGCGGCGCAATAAACCGGACGTCCCACTCCCCCTGTTGCCCTGTCACCCCGCCTCTTCAAGCCTGGGCCGTGACTGCTGGACAGCGAGTATGCTGGGAAATTCATGGGTGATGGAGGAGGGGACACCACCAGCTGGAGAATGAACAGATGCATTTAAAACTGAATGAGTTTATCAGCCAAGATCCACGATTCAAAATGGATTTTTAATTTTTCGTTTCTCTCATTTATTAAAACAGACACAGAGACTTCTTTTATCATCATTACACACTGATTTGTTAAAGAATATTACAATGAAAAATCTGATTGATATAGCGGAATAATAATTTAGCAATAAATGAATCATGTCGTGTTTCATAACTTGTACTAATATATAAATATTTATATTATTATTAGTAGGAATAGTATGATGTGCGCTAATACCTATTTGGGTCACATTCAACCGCAGGTCTTAAACTCAGTTTCCGGTGTACCGTTCGTACCCGATTTCCTTCCAAGGTTTTAATGTATTTATCTTTTGGGCTTTATGATTCTGAGCACGAGTTCTGTATGTGTGCAACCTTTTATTTCACAGGGTTCATTGACAGAAACACAAGTTAAGAAAAAAAAAACTGCACACACGGCCCTAGGGGAAAATGCATGACAAACTGGGTGGTTACCTACCTTAATAAGTCAATTGTTTTATGTACTATCACTGTGCAATATTCACCTTACTACCAGAAATTGTATTTACTCGCCTTCCTTGACACGGTTGTCGTACTAACTGCAATATACTTCATCTATTTGTTTCTCTAAATAGTCCGCGCTAGCATGCTGGCTAGGTCAGTTCGGAGATCTTTCTTTCTTATGGCGATCAAAAGATCCATCGAAAGTCATCATCTTCGAGTGAATTAAATAATAAAAAGTTTTGCAGGGGAATGTAAAAACTAGCGTATTTAAAACAAACCAAACAATAAAGCTCTGTCTAAATCACCGCATGCAATGACCTTTCAACTGGAAATGATTAGGTCGGGTCCAGGGCTTTGCTCAGAAGTGTGACATGTACTTTAAAACGCGAAGTCGGGAGTAGTAAGACTTCTGTGTTGCGAGGCAAACTCACTTAGCTACCTAAACTATCCCAAGGATCTGTGTTATATCAAACGACTTCGACGGAAGCGAACATGTTAAATCCTACTAAAAACATTTAACTGCATACCAACAGAAATGAATTAGCTGATTAATATCGACACAATTTGCACTCCACATGAACTGTCCGTAATAAAAAATTAAATGTCATTAATGCCGTGGAGCATATTTTATGCATGCAGTAGATATATAAAGCATGGTTAATTTGACGTTTGTTACAGGTAGTGGGTTAGGGCAGCATTGTTGACTGACTGTAGAGGGTGGTGTCTTTCGCCCATGTCCCTTACTCCTGCACTCGCGTGACCAGGGCCCTACGTCGTTCCGCTCGCGGGCTGATGTGTCAAAGCTCCCTTAGCTTGGACCTCAGATCCCGGGGGTGGTCGATGCTTTACGGCTACAGCGCGGTGCAACCGGCCAAACGCCATGGATAACTCGGGAAAGGAGAAGGAGGCGCTGGCCCTCATGGCCGAAGCGGAGAAGAAACTGAAGTCTTCGCAGTCGTTTTTCGGGACGCTGTTCGGGTGAGTCTGCTGCTCGCCCCGGTTCACCTCGCCTCCGATAGTTTATTGACGCAGCTGGTTTTAGCGGAAGGCTAGGAGGGGAAAACACAACCCGTCCCAAAGTTAAAATCCATCTTTGGACTAGGATTAAAGCGACCGAGAGGCGCCTCACGCTCATTTATGCCTTTAACTGGCTGCAGATACTTGATCAGTGACCGGCAAAGCCCGTCGTTAGGGTGCCGCAATACCTGCTTTTCTCCAGCCCAGAGGAGGAAGGCCCTGCTATGTGACAACTTTGTTATTAATGCTGGCGTGAATTTGCAGCCCAGTTCTCCTGTCGCAAACTTTTAAGGTAGCATATTGTCAATTATATATATATATATATATATATATATATATATATATATATTTATTTGACAACTGTGAACTATTGCAGTGGGTAATTGTAAGGAGCCTTGTCACTAGTCAGTGTATGTGTGTATATATATATATATAAACTACTGTAATTGGGTCGAGTAATAACTTCTTAAACGTTTATAAATGTTTATAGATCTCATGAAAGTTAAAGAACAACTGGTATTTTAAAAAAATGACCCTTGTGACGAGGGTAGGCAAAATAATGTTGTGGTTTGAGAGCATAACGTAAATTTGTCTTCGGGTCCGAATGTTTTGACAGACACTCACCCGGAAATGTTTGGCTGCCTTTTTTATCCATTTATTTTTTTAAATCAAACCGTGTTTAAGGTATTTAAACTTTACTTCTTTTTGGAGAGGCACGCGTCGACACTTATTTAAAATATTGAGACACGTTTGCTGTAGTACGTAAGTCTAAACTCCACATTGTCTATTAATGTTTGTGCAGGGGATCCTCGAAGGTGGAGGAGGCTTGTGATATGTACGCCAGGGCTGCAAACATGTTCAAGATGGCGAAAAATTGGAGTGGTAAAAAGCGAGCTTATATTATTAGTGGGAGGGAAATGCTTGTGTTGTGCAAGTCTTTTAGTGTTTGGGGAAATTGTTGTGGATAGGGTGTGCTTTCAGATTCTGTCAGCCTCTCTGTGGTTGGGTTGGGTTGGGGGGGGAGGGTTGTTAAGGTATTTTATCAGTACAAATTTTGGAGATCTGGTGTCTCAGCTTTTGTTGTGCTGCTTGCTTCAGGGGCAGGCAATGCCTTCTCCCAGGCTGCGCGACTTCACCTGCAGATGCAGAGCAAACACGACGCAGCCACCAACTTTGTCGATGCTGGCAACGCATTTAAAAAAGCTGACCCACAAGGTAAAGCCGCGAAATAAATGCTTACAGCTCCAGCCAAACGGTCTGCTTAGTCTCTCTGCGACAAAGGAGCTGCGTTATTCTGCTTCGAACCCATAATTTATCTGTACATTTTAGTTTATATATTACATTATTAGAATGCACAGTCAACTGTACAGATTCAATTAGGATTGTGTTGTGTTTTCATGTCATACATTCTAGTTCTTTGTTTTACTTATATATTTTTTTTGGCCTATATTGTGTGGCATTAGTTGCTGCTGGATTGCTTGTGTGTCCTGCAATAAAATACCGTCCTTTGCAGGGTGGTGCCTGCCTTCCCCCATCCTACCTAAGACAGGCAGTCTCATCCTGACCCTGGACTGGAAGAGCAGTTCAGGATGATGTGTGGATTTGTGTGTTAGCTGTAAATTGATTTTATATATATGTTTTTTTTCTTTCTTTCTTTTTAACAGAGGCTATCAACTGTCTGAACCGGGCAATTGAAATTTACACAGACATGGTCAGTAACTTTTTTGTGTGCCCTGTTTATTTGCACGTTCTTGTTAATGTACCGTTGTTTCCATTTCTGTATTTGACCTTAGAGGGAACTATCCTGCTTGTGTTTGTTTTTCATTTAGCCGTGTTTTGATTGACTTTGTGAGGCAGCATTTCTGTTTTTCTTTACACATTGACTCCAAATCCATTGCTCAGTTTCAATTTTCTAGTCATAATTCAGTGACCTGCTGTGCTGTTCATACACTGTTTCACCTCTTTGTCAGTGAATCTTCTGTGCAGATGGGGTTATGTCTAGCTTACGATTTGGCTGTTAATGCCTGAATGCATGCTTACTGTGCATGTATCTGACGTTGTCACTAACCGTATTGTTTTGTTTCTTCCTATGATACAACAGGGTCGTTTTACCATTGCAGCGAAACATCATATTTCCATAGCCGAAATCTATGAGACTGAGTTAGTGGACGTTGATAAGGTCAGTAAAACTCCTGGAAAGTGCCTGAGTTTCTATACACACACACATAATGTAGAGTGAAAAAGTAAGTACACCCCGTGTTTTTATTTTTTGTGTTGTTTTTTTCGCCCGCTGGAATTGTGCCCAGACAACTCCACTGTTGACTCATCTGTCTAGAGCATCTTGTTCCAACGTGCAAACGTTGTCCCTCATTTTGGTGTTTAATGGCAAACTTCAGTCTTGTATTGATGATGATGATTGCTGACCTTCTGTGTAGGCAGAATTTGTCTGCTCTCTCTCTCTTTCTCTTGATTGACTCATGCATGTTTACATGGATTGTGACAAGAGCTGTCTATAGATCCCTTGATGATACCCCGAGAATCTTTGAGATTTCTGGATGCACTTTGTGCTCTTCTCTTTTGCTGATTTTTGGTAGGATGGCCTGGCTTGGACAGATTGACACTGGTCTGAAACCTTCTCCATTTGCAAAATTTTAGTTTGTTTGACCAAACAAGACCAGTTGTTTATGTAAGGTGTACCTCTCAAAGATACTGTCTAATAATGACCTAATTATTGGGCCTGATTTGGTGCATCAGATTTTGATTTTCACATCCAGTGTAATGGTAAATGAGGCATGTACTATCTGTTTCCTCACAAGAAATTAGAATTAATGTTTATTGTAATTGTATAATATGTATATGTGTGTACTGTTCTGTTCAGAAGTCTTGGGCTGCTAAAGAGAATTTCTGTTTAAATTCTTTGTGTTTTTTTTGTTTTGTTTTGTTTTGTTTATGAAAGTGTGAGCTTAGCCATTTGGAAAACCTCTCCTAAAGTCACTCCAGCATTTTCAGTAACCAGCCAGTACACCAATGCAGTGCTAGCATGCTATATCTGGCCAGTGAATATCACATCGCATTATAAATATTTTTTTAATTCTAAATTGTTTTTTGAGCGAATGTACTCTTACTACCAAGATTACTGGCTTTAAGCATTTTCCTTGGGGGTCCAAGATTTGTGTCTGTGTGTGTGTGCGAAAAATATGGCTATTAACTTTTTAAGCTTCAGTGTGACCATACATTGCATGTAAGTTAAGGAGCATTGTAGCGTTCAGTGTTGCACGTTTGATATTGTTTATCTTCATAGGCAATCGCTCATTACGAGCAGGCAGCCGACTACTACAAAGGTGAAGAGTCAACCAGGTAACATGGGAGACCGGTTTAAAATGCACCGGCATCTTCTCCGATGCTCGTGTGTAAGTGTGCTTATGGTTTTTTTTTTTTTGTGCTGTGTCTCCCAAGCTCTGCCAACAAGTGTCTCCTCAAAGTAGCTACCTATGCTGCTCAGCTGGAGCAGTATCAGAAAGCTATTGAAATCTACGAACAGGTGAGCTTTGATTCCATACTGATAGGCTGGTAATGGCCAATTAGACTTTTTTATTTTTTATTTTTTATTTTTGCAGCATCACTGCCATTGTTTTTGTGTACCCAGATTGGAACCTATGCGATGGACAGCACCCTGCTCAAGTACAGTGCGAAAGACCATTTCTTCAAGGCAGCACTCTGTCACTTTTGTGTGGACATGCTGAACGCTAAGGTCTGCCTTTACATCCTCCTGGGACAATGTTGCTGTTTTTTCTGATTTTTACCCACAAAACATAGCACATAATATCGTCCAGTACACTTATGTATGTATGGGTGGAAGGATGCTATTCATTGATGTAACATTTCAAGAGAGAGAATTTTGCCTGCGTTGAAATCTACAATAAGTTAGTAACCAGAAATGGGGCCGGTATTGTTTATGATGTAAGTTGAGAGCTTATTTAATATTTATGTGATTTTGTCTTTAGTATAATTCTCTGTGGCACACTGTGGCGAATAGACACGTGTTGCTGGGAGACATAAATAATGAATGTATGTGTCACTAACTTCAGTTATATTTCCACTCCTCTCAGCTGGCTCTGCAGAAATATGAGGAAATGTTCCCAGCCTTCTCAGACTCCCGAGAGTGTAAGCTGGTGAAGGTGAGCATCTGTTTGTCCTTCTCTCTTCCCCCTCATTAATTGTGCCAGGTTTTATGAAGTTCTAACCCGTGACTCTCTTTTTGATGGCAGAAACTCCTTGATGCTTATGAAGAACAGAACGTTGATGCCTACACTGATTCTGTGAGTTTCCTTCCCCCTTTGTTTACATTCTTTTGCTTTTTTATAGCAACCTTTACTCGTTATCTTCTTCTTTAAAGTCTTCCAAAAAGATCCTCTTGTACGATCTTGCATGCTTTGATGTGCCTAGTGCACCGTACAGTAAGCACACATTGTACTTGTACATCCTCTTTGTTTTTTTTGTCTAAAACTTTGTGACAAAATCCACTGTAAAGGAGCTTTTGCGGAGGAATTCATCAGATTCTAAAGACTGATTTGTTTCATTCTTACTGACTATATAATCCTTACAGTTAATCAGAAAATGCACGTGTTGAATTGCAAGTACGTCACTATTCAATGCTAATACGTGACATAGGTTGTAAATCACTTTTCAGTGATTTTTGTCATTGGTCAAGCTTTGCAGAAAGTTGTTTTTATCTGTTGGTTGTCTGCAAAGTTGTTGTTGCCCTTCAATAAGTGCTTGCACTTCCTTTTATAGCCACTAGAGTGCATCATAGAATGGCAGAATAGTATCATTTTGCGTTTAGATTTATTGGGCAATGCTTTTGTGCAAACTTGCTTTAACAAACTTACTGCTCTGATTGTGCCACTGTAGTGCTGCTAGGCTAAGTGTTGATTGCCCAGAAACAGATGTGCGGGGGAAAGGGGCTATATGAACATCACACAAAACCTAGGGCTACACAAATACACCCTAGAGGGAGTCCAAGGAACTAATCACAATGTGTACGACACAGAAGGCCATCTGGCAAACTGCATCACAGCACAATAAGTCAACAATGAACAGTGCTAGGGAATGAGGTTAATTTGCAGGACAAACATTGAGGTGTACTTGATAGTTGTGTCCTATTCTACAGATCAGATGGAGTTCACAAATAACATTACAACTAGAGAGAGCAAGATATTTCTCCTGGTCCGATCCATATACCAGTTATTAAAACTGAGTTTCTGCCAATACCAATACCAACCTCAAACCATAGTAGTCAGCTACCTTGATATCATTCAGCTACCTTGAATGATATTATCAGTTTATCACCACTTTCCATGTCAAATGATTTTGTCATTTCCTGTAAATATTACATTGAGATGATTTGTATATTATATGTCCCTGTATGCACAAAGTTGCTATCTTATGCCCTGGTAAATTTGATATGCTAAATTTAATGGCAATGAAAATTTTTAAAGTTACTGTGAGAAACGCAACATTGTGCTGTCACAAAGACTGCTAATGTGACTGAGGTGGGGTGCTAGGAAAGATGTGCAGCAGACCCAAGTCAAGACTTCTACCATTAATGATACGGTTGTGCACATACACTAACAAATATTATTCATTACTGATATTTATATATTTTGATTTTGCAAATTATAGCTGTCACAATTACTTGATTTAAACTCGATTTACTCAATTATTAAAAAGCACCAATTTAAAATTTTCCTTCTTGATTTATTTGGCAATATGGTCATAAAAGCACATAAAAGATAAGGGTCCAGATAACGAAAGAGTTTTCGGTTATGTGGAAGTACATTTAAAGTGCATGAAAATTCCGTCGTCTGTCTTTGTTGCAAAGCAGAACTTCATCACCGCAGCTCAGCTGCAATGCAAATGTATCTTAAAAGAAGACATTCAGGTTTGACAGACTCACCCTGTACTGTAATGTGAGGCTAACAATAGAAATGTGCCATTGAGCCTCTCGGAGTAGCATAACCTGTCATTTTGCTTAATTTACTTTCTGCGATTTCCTCTATGTCTAAATGATTGCTGATAAAACAAGGGGCACTTTTCCACCACCCCAGGTACAGTACAGTACTTTTGCTTTACCATTAAGCCTACACCTACGCATGGGACGGTGAACTCGTAGTGTGGCTGATGTCAGTCGTCGAGACATGGTGCAGGATAATATGGGGTGTTTTAGTGAGTCCGATACCTGTGCAGGCGCAGATGTCATGAGGTTCTGTAATGCTTGGCGCACAATACCACAATCCTCCCTTAGTGTGGTCTGTCTTGCCTGACCAGAACCTTCACAGTGCTATGTGTGGGTGCCCTCACGTGCCCATCGAGCGACTGTGACATCTGCATGCCCCACAGGCCGGGCAATTGCAGGATACGACCACCCGACCTCTTGCAAACCCACAATGCGACTCCTATACTCTGTCAAGTGCTGGTAATGCTGTCTAATGTGTCTATGAGGCATCCTCTGTGTCCGGTGACTAGACGTGCCAGCTCCTTGCAAATCGAATCATTTACATGCTGGTCTGCACGTGTACCAAATTGTCACGCTCCGCTCCGTCCGCTCCCGATGTGTGCCACGCCCACCTCGTTACCTCGTGTTCAGCCCTAAGTGTGATTGCCTGAGTCCTGTTAAGTCTAGCTTGTCTTGGGTATTTAGTCCTCGTCTGAGTCAGTCTTCCCCAGACTTGTCATTGTATTGTCCTTCGATGTCCGTACCTGTCCGTCTGCCTCCAAATAAACCCCGTTTCCCTGACGACCTGGCTGCTCTCGCCTGCTTCCCTTCTCGCCTCCCCGACGATCGTGACACAAATTGTGTACGATTACTTTTGGCAAAACTTTAACCCCCACACTATATTGTCCGTACAGAATTGAAAGTAAGCAAAAGCCTTATTTTAATATCTGATCAGCGATGTAGGAATTGGATGTCCATAACATGCGATGCTGGTATTAATATCACACATCATCCAGCCCTATAATGTACTACAGCCAATTTTCTAATTCAGCATAAAGTACCCGGCCTCATGCTGTGATGTCATTCGGCACCGGTACCAGTTTTTACGCCAGTGGAAAACCAACACCTTGAAGTACCGTAATTTCGGTTCTTTCTCTAAGTACCAAAATTCCAGTACCTGGTGCGGTGGAAAAACATTTAGAATGCATTATGAACAGAGACAGAGACAGAGACAGAGACAGAGACAGAGACAGAGACAGACAGATAGATAGATATATGTGTGTATGTGTATATATGTGTATATATATATATATATGTATGTGTATATATAGTTTATTATAGAAGAGAGCTTTATAGAGCATTCATAATGCATAATAAACAGGGCTATAATGCGTTATGCTTTTTTTATAAATAGATATAGCCATGTTTGTAATGCTTTGAGTGCATTGAGTGTTGCCTCCAAACATGTATCAAACCAAAACATTTTGTAGTAGCGGAAGTTGCTTGTCCTAGCCGTCCTAAGCCGCAATGCTTGCACTGCATGTAGTTACACTCTTTCGAGATTGGGACAGATAGACAACCAAGAATACTCCACCCTGGTAGTGATGTTCACCTCCTGGCTGAACGAGTGTCCAGCTGCAACAGCTACTCAAATATCTTGCCAGTCCTCATGAAAGTGACAAGCGCTTTGTCCATCTTGGCAGCAGGATTCCTTCTGGAGGGCGACTGGTGATTTGGGGCACATTTACCAGTCTTCTGTGTCGAGGTCCTTAACGCAGTTTGCCAGCATTGCAAGGCAATCTTGTCCCACAGTACTGACTTTATTAAATTTCTCAGCACACAAGACCAGAGGAGAGTAAATAGAAAGTTTTATCGTGTGGCTGGCTTTCCAAGCCTGTGCACATTTTGCCATTGAGGCTCCCGCTGAAAACGAGTTGATGAGAAATGGGAAACTTCAACACAGCATCAATGTGCAAGTTGTGTGCAACTCATACAACCAAATTCCAAATTTGGTTCAGCCTATGATTAATTCATTCTGTGTAATTACACCTTGGCACAAAAACTGGTGGACTTACCTGACTAGGACGCATACCTAAAGGGTAACCATTCTGTGCTTAATGGTGTAATTCTGTAGGATTTAATTGCACTGACCCACAGTTGGTTTGGAACAATACATGCCTATGTTGTAGTGTATATGCTTGTTTTGACTATGCAGTTGATTTCATTTTTATTTTATCAGCAATGTATTCTAAGCTTTCAGTCCATATTGTTAATATATTACTGATATGTTACACCATATCTATTGGTGAGGCGTATTTGTTTAAGGGATTGTTTTGAATAAAGTGTTAAAGGCATCTGTCTTCATGATGCGAGAATACAGCCTATAGAGTAGGATACTGTAGAAAGCTTTGGTGTTCAGAGCTGTTCATTTTTGTTTTTGCTTATAGGTAAAAGAATTTGATTCCATCTCTCGGCTGGATCAGTGGCTTACCACCATGCTTCTCAGAATCAAAAAGACCATACAGAACGAAGAGAGTGACCTACGTTAGCTGCTCGCCTTCCTTTCTCTGTCACAGTCCTTCCCCACACACTGCCACAACCCCACCTCTCTTCCATCTTTTGTATTTTTCTGCTTTTTTCCTCCGCTTTTTCTTTTACGGATTGTTTTCTTCACACATGCTAGTATTTCACATCTTTCCATGCCTCTTTGCTTTTCTTCTTGCCACAACTGTGCTCAGCAATAACAAATTGCAAACACCTTTCTGGGTCATTAAGATGATGAAGCCCAGCTTTATATACCAAGATACTTTTAAGTATAATTCACTGTTATTTTTATGATTTATTAAACAGTTGAACTTCAAACTCTAAATGGTAACAGCAACAAAAAGAATTTTAAGAATAACTGCATGAAAGTAGGATGCTAAATGGGGGGAAAAAAAGTTTTCAAAATAAAACCAGAGTTCTCAATGACGTCCACTATGTTCTCAAATGGGGAACCGTCTGCATCACACATAAAATATAAAACTAACACATTGGTATATTTTTACTTTGTCATAAAGATAGAGATGTTGACGCACCATGAAACTAGAAAAAGTGTCCCATTTTGGGAGGGGGTTGTCTGATTATAGTGTGCCAGCAGCCAGAAGAGTCAAATAAATTTTTCTTGTTCTGGCAATATCAAACAGCAACTGAGAATACTGCTTAAAACCTGTAGTTTTTCAACATAACACACGTTCCGCAGTCAGTAAGAAAAAGCTGACTTTCACGTCAGTCATGTTTGTAATGAGTTTATCATGTCGACATTTCAGCCACGCTAAGCATTCAGATCATTACAGATTATTTAGCAATTTTAAGATAATCTGATAAAACAAACTTAAATACAAGGAAAAAATATGAAACAAACTTTCAGCAGCTAACCTAAAAAAAATCTGAATCAATGAATAACTGATACCAGTGTACTGCCCATCACCACTTTACAGTTATATCGTCTAACTGTGTTATAGCAAGAGATTTTCAATATATATTCAGTTGTCAGGAACATGGTAAGCAACTCCAAAGTATTGTGAGGCAAGAATATGAAGTACCAGTTGAACTGTCCCAGTGCGTAGCATACTTCCTTGAATGGTATATGTCTACAACCTCATGCCTACAGGTAGATGACCAGCTGAAAAGCACTGACTGTGACTGAGGTCTCTTTAATCATGTACTTTTCATGATGACGTCTGTAAATTGTATTCTTTGGGGTAAGGGTTGTGTATTTTTTGGGCTCAATATGATCCATGCTGGTTTTAAAATGAGAAGAAAATTCTCTCAACAGTTCAGCTGAAATTGACTTTGTGGGTTATGGGAAGATATATCACCAAAAAAAATTTTAATAGATTTTTTTTTGTGCATTTTTTATGGTCTACCTCCGTTACCGTTTGGGGGCATATTGCCCCCAAATTTAACGTCTTATTTTTCCCTGCAATAACAGTATATTTCAGACCTTTTTCATTACTAACGACCACCCCAACCCTTTCCATAAAAAAAATGCTACCCTAAAATTATTTATCTCATGCAAAAGAAACTGTGCCAAAGAGGAAATTTTTATGAAAAAAGTCATCTGAAAATGTTAATTTTAGTTCTCTAAAAAAAGGTGTACTTTCGAACAAAATATAATTTGAAAATTGTTATGCTTTATTATAAATTTGGATCTCTTTAGGACAAGTCAGCAGTTTCTACATGTTTGATTCTGCCAAGTTTTATGGTGTTTTTGTGGATCATGAACACAAACGCAGGCCCTAATTTCAGAGAAATCCTGTTCAAGTGAATGGTAGGGTCAGTTTGACCACAGACGGTAACAGAAGTACATAATTTTTTAGAGCACTTAGTCATTTGGAAATCTTAATTTTTTATAAAATTGGCACAAAAGTTGGCACAGTTTATGCACAAGTATTATTTTAGGTTGACAACAGCTATCGTTGCCGAAAATGGTGTTCTGCCAACCAGAAATGGAGGTTCTGTGGTCCAAATTTTTTGTTTTAGGGAAGGGGTTGGGATGGTCCTTAGTAATGGAAAAAGGTCTGAAGTATATTCGTTATCGTGGGAAAAAATGTAAGACATTAAATTTGGGGGTAGTATGCCCCCAAGCATTACAGTAGTATTTACAATATTCTAGAATACACCAGTGGGATAATTAGTGCTTTTCTAGTTGGTATCTGAGGTAAATTATAAAGCCTGTCACACCAAATCATATTTTGGCCGATGCTTCTTGTCTCTCTCAGATCCACATTGAATTGTATCGGATTATGCTTTGTAAAATAAAAGCTGGTTTGTATGGCATTAGAAAAACGCAAAATGTTATTGGCCCTGGAATAAAATTGAAATTAAAAATCATAATTGCTATTTAATAATGATGCCGTTGGAATGGCTCTGTGTGTAATAGTGGCAGACAAAAAAAAATGAAAATTTTTGCCATCTCGCGCTACAGTCAATATATTACCTGTTTATTTGTGGGAAAGATGAATATTGCAATTGTAACATGAAACATCAAATGGAGCTTTTAAACCTTTTCTGTTCTTGAGTGCTTCTCAAATCAAATCTTGCAGTATCCAAGTGAAAAAATGAACATGATGTTTCTGAAATTGAATACACCATTATTCTTTAAGACAACACACTTCAGTGGATGTAAATTTTGCTTTAATCATACCCTTCCCCATGGAGAACCATTTGCCTTTTATTCTTAATATGGTTCTTCCAGCTCAGTACAATTGCTTGGTGATCATCGATGGACTCAGGGGTATAGATTTGGGTATGGAGATGTGGGATTACCAGGTATGTAATTCAAGATTCAAGATTCAAAGAACTTTATTAATCCCAAAGGGAAATTACTTTGTCTTGGTTATACAGTTGCTCTGATTAATTTACTGGGAAGAAAGGAAAAAAAAGTAAATAGTTTAGGAAAAAGTATTAGAATGGAAAAATATAGATATAAAAATTTAAAGAAGTAGAAGCAAAATATAATAAAATTAAATTAAATATAGCACACATGTTTAGTAATGCACTAGAAATGCCGTGTAGATAAGGAGAAATATTGCACAAATGTAATAGTCAGATATTGCACATGGAACATTAGTTGAGAACAGTAGTGCTGTAAAATATTATTATTGAGCAGGAACTACACATAGTTCAAGTCCCGTACTGAAAACATTACAGAGAAGAGTTATATATTTTAATGGCCATTGGGAGAAAAGATCTCCTGTGGCGCTCTGTAGAACACCTGGTCATAATCAGTCTCTGGCTGAAATTGCTCCTTTGATCGGAGAGAACTCTATATAGCGGGTGAGAAGGACTGTTCAGGATTGTGCGTGTTTTGGACAGGATCCTCCTCCTTGCCACGACATCAAAAGAGTCCAGATCCACGCCCAGTACAGATCCGGCCCTTTTAATTACCTTATTCAGTCTGTTCCTGTCTGCTGCTTTCATGTTACAGCCCCAACAGACCACAGCATAAAAGACAACACTCGCCACAACCGATTCGTAAAACATCTGAAGAACGGTATTACAGATGTTGAATGATCTGAGCCTTCTCAGAAGGTGCAACCTGCCCTGTCCTTTCTTGTAGAGTGCCATAGTGTTAACTGACCAGTCCAGTTTGTTATCCAGATGCACTCCCAGGTATTTGTACTCTGAGACCATGTCCACTGTTTCACCCTGGACAGATATAGGAGTCACAGGGGTTCCACTCTTCCTAAAGTCGACCACTAGCTCCTTCGTCTTCTTGATGTTGAGTTGTAGATGGTTACGCTCACACCAGAAAACAAAGTCATCCACCACAGTCTGGTACTCGGAGATGTCACCGTCCTTAATACATCCCACCACCACAGAGTCGTCAGAGAACTTCTGTAGGTGGCATGATGCTGAATTATATTTAAAGTCTGATGTATAGATGGTACAGGTAATGTTACCAGGGTGGGGGGTTCGGGGCTGATTTGGTCCCTACCAATGTTGCAACCAAATCTATGCCCTTGGATGGACTGGAGATTTTTTAGTCAATCCAAAGATTTTTGATCAGATTGAGGTCGTGGCTCTGATTAAGCTGCTTAATGCTGTTGATTGTTTAGTCTACTACAGTTTCTTTGGGTTATTGTAATGCTATTTTTCACATGCATACTTCCAGTCTTTCTCAGACAGTGACAGGCATTTTTCATGAAACCAGTGATTGCACTGGCTACGATGAGAATATCATTCTGCATACAGTGTCTTTCTGTTCTGCAATACAACTCCAGTTACAGAAACGCTGAGAAAATACGAATAATGTTTATGAAACAAAAGCACACATGTGAGACATTGAAAATACTAAAACAATACATTAAATACATTAAAATATATTTTCTTAAATGAAATTTAATGTTTAAAAAATATATACTCAAGAAATATAATCATTGAAAGTGAGAAATTGGTTGCTACATAGTTGCTTGAATAACCAAGGTGTGCATGTGATTTCACAAACACACACGAATTTGTGAATGTGAAATTTACTTTGTTTTGTAATGTTTTAATAGAGTAAATTCAAAGATGATATGTGAAAGTCTGGCGAATATCGAACCCACTGCTAAATTTACTCCGGCAAAGTATAACACGACCAACTTAATAAAGCGTCATGCCAAAGAGTGTGAACAGTTGAACAAAACAAAAACAGGGGATTGTTCGAAGCAGTTAACACTACAGGCATCATTGCAAAGACGTGCGAAACTCCGCAGCAATAGTGCAAAGCGACAAAAATAACAGAAAAGGTACTCGAATTGATTGTTCTGGATGAGCAGTCCCTGATTGAACACTTTGAACCACGGTACAGTTTGCCATAACAAGCTGTACGAAAAAGTATGTGAACACATATCAAAAATAATAAAAGATGTACCAGCGATTAGCTTCACTACTGATATCTGGAGCTCTGACGTGTGCCCATTATCGCCTTTGAGTTTAACTGCACACTGATTGGACACGAGATGCGAGCATGAAAATGCAGTGTTGATATTTAATACACTTGTATTGTATACTAAAATTTTAATTCCTGGAGATTACTGCACCTAGAAGTATACTTCTACATTACTTACATTGGAATTAAAATTTCTGTTACTTTACTGTTACCAGGTTGTTAGTATTATGTTAATAGTAAATAATTCAGCTTATACATATTTTTGTGTGCGGATTTTTTATATTGTCTTCCAAAATTAGGTATTTAGGTCAAGTATTTAAGCCTGATGTCTCCTTAAATATAATTTCCATCTCTTTAAAGTGTGACATATGTCTTATTAATCATCGGATCAGTACTCAGGATCGGACGATACCCAAAACCTAGGTATCGGTATCGTTATCGGAACTGAAAAAGTTGGATCAGTGCATCCCTACTGTCTTCTCACCTTCAACTACCTGGCAAAGGATGGCAAGCTTTCTTCAAGCACCTCTCAGTATTTTGCACCATCCTTTTTCTCCTCTGGGAATGGTGATCTTTCAGTTGTAAGATGTGTTGGGTCTTCATCAGACATACATACCCTTTTGCATTGCAGCTTGGCCACTTGACTGCAAAATCTGTAAGGAACTTTAGCAAAATCTAAATGAGACTTTTCCCCAAAAAAATAAGGCAATGCCATTTTAATTAACTGTCATTGCTTTTTGGAATTTTGTTTTCACTTGCATGTGGGTGGTTTACTGTGCATCAATGAAAAGATGACACACCTTTTTGCTCTCAGTATGTAATTCAACAAAGGATATCAATTCTGGAGGGGGGTGGTGACACTGTACCCACTGTTTCTTACTGTCAGTGCAGTGGTTCTGAGATTGTGATGACATCTGTTTAAGTGGCACGTGGCAATTCATAAAAAGTGGAAGCTACATACCAAAGTTTTATTGTTTGAAAAGTACACACAAAGACATTCTGAAAGCAATTACAGGGACATCCCTGAGGCTGTGGTGGGAAAAGTGCTCAACAGTGGTATAGCTAGAATTTTTTTTTCCAAACGGGCACAACTTTAAAATCACAATCCATCTCTAGCCTTTACAAACTATATGGCCCGCAGAGACAGAATCTGTAATGAACGATAAAAAGCACACTTTAACCCTAAGGTGCAAAAAACACATACCCCATCACAACAAACACACAATGCTGCCACAACACTAGCTTGGTTACTGCAAAATAGCAATTAAACTTTGCATCAAATCTTGTAAGTAGATTTAAATATTCATTCATAGGAAACAGGTGATTAGCATATAACAAAATGACAGGCATACTAGTTGATGCAAACAGGTTTAGTCACATCAAAAAGGGTATTTTTTGCAGTTTTTATTTCTCTGATATTTCAGTTAAAGTTGCCCTAGACAAGGTCAAACCCACAGCTGTTCACAATTCCTGCGATGGTGCATAACACATACAATGAAAACACGCAAATTTCCATAGCTGAATTTTCATGAGATTAAAATACGCAAATGTGTTGGTTGGAAACCAGCTGCTACTTCCTTCTGAAGGTTTGCATCACTTAAACTATAATGTCAAAACCAAACTTGAAAGAATCTCCCACGGCAAGGACAGCCAGTGCAATAAACAGGGCAGACCAAGAGACGAGGGCCAATCAGTGCAATAAACAGGGCAGACCAAGACCAAGAGACGAGGACCAATCAGTGCAATAAACAGGGCAGACAAAGAGCAAGAGACGAGGACCAATCAATGACATCGCGGTGAAGGAGGGGAATCAAAGTTGGTGTAATGTAAGTGTCAGAGAGGAGAATCCTCCTGTTGGTTAGTAGTAACGAATGAATGGGTGATAGGTGACTACAAGTCTTCCATGAATGACTTGTTAGTAGTGATGGATGACGTTGACTATGAGTCTTGCTGGTAGAATTTTCGCGGGGGGGGTGGGGGGCGGGGCGGGGCGGGGATTACGGATGTTTTGGGCGAGCCTAAGCCTCCTGTCCATTGGTTCTGCCTCTGAAGTAAAAATACAAGCACCAGACCAAAATGTTACTCAAGTAGTATAGGTCGTCCAATACAATACTACGGAAGTCAAAGTAAAAAAAAGTAACTGATTTTAAAAGTAGTTATGTAAAAAGCACAATACTGTAGTGCTGGAGTGGGGAATATTGTAAATAGCCCCTGTGTAATTGTAAATATTTGTTATATTTTTCTAATCACCAATACGGACCTTTTAATGGACTTTTTGAGATGTGATGCACTGTGTTGCACTGATTTGGTCTTTTCTAATCACTGCATCCGTCCTTTTAATGGCTTAATAAAAGGGCTGTTTTCCCCTTTATGTCAGCCTCCTCGTTTCATGCTGTTACTGCAATGACTCAGTCTGCCAGACACTACAATTCACTCAAATCCCTTGACCTTACAAAAAAACACCATGTCCTTTCAAATTCATTCAATACAGGAATGACAATAGCACTGTAAGTTACAGTGCAGCTCAATAAGGAAAACTGAGCAGCATAATTTCCTTTTATTAAGAAAAAGTGGTGAAACTTGCTGAACCTGTTGTTCAATGGAATCATCACCATTTTTTCAGTAGTATAGTTCTCATGTCAACCTTGAATATTGATAAAGTCATAAAAGACAATATGTAATGCAAAATAATAATAAAGAAATTGCTCAAGAATCGTGACAAAAAAATTGTGGAAAAAATTGAGATTCATATTTTATTCAGAAGCATGCAGCCCTTCTCAGGGGCATTGCATGCAATAAGTATTTTTTTTATTTATTATGCGAGTAACGATGGTCATGCAGATGTATCTGAATGTAACAGAATAAAGAGTCGTTATTTGGAAATTAAAAGTTGCAGCAACTTGAAATACTCAAGTAATAATCTTGAAAAAAACCTTCTTTAGTGTAGCAAACAAGCGTTTATACCTCGTTACTTGACACATCTGTCCTACAGTCCAAAGACATAGTTAGGCTAACTGGTCTCTAAATTGTTGATGCCTAAAATTGTTATTGTTCCCCTGCTTTGTACCGACCTTGACCAGAATGTGCTTGGAAGCTATATAGTGGATATTTTGATAATCTGGAAACTTCATGAATGTATATTGTGTGTTTATTTTTATATAACAAACAAAAACCCACATGAATATAATATTATATGCTGCCTGTGACGTCCTTCCGGCCTGCCCTCCCCTCTGCCTGTGACGTCCTTCCGGCCTGCCCTCCCCTCTGCCTGTGACGTCCTTCCGGCCTGCCCTCCCCTCTGCCTGTGACGTCTCTCCTTCCTTCCCTGCTGCTGTGCTACTGTTCGTCCTGCCATCAGAAGCAGCAACAGCACCATCACCTGCCTGACTGAGACTCAAATCTTAATATTTGGACAGTGTAAATTAGGATTGTGCCATCTTTCACTTAACAAGAGTGTGTGGCAATTCATTATTAGTTAAATTTATATGAAAAAAATGACAGAAAGCAACATAAGAGTATAACCAAAAACTTGTAAAGAAAAACCACTGGAGGTCCAAAGTGACTGGTCCCCAAACACCTCCCCCCCCCCGACAAACATTGTAGAATATAAATAAAATGCTTTAATAATAGCCTATAACCAATATGAACCAGCACATAAACCACTATCAACATCAGCATAACATTCATTATAACAGCTTGTCATCTGATACCTCATATTGTGGACTATGGTCGCACAAATTTAGCACTCCGTTATTAACCTGACACAGACTGACACTGAAAAAAACACAAATGGAAATCTGGTCCAAAACATTTAACAGCTATTTGATTCTTCATGTTCTACAGTCACATAAAATACTGTTAAAAAAATATTGTAATACAATTTCTGCATTTTGTTAAGATTTTGGTGATTCATTGTGATGACAACTTCTGTATAAATATATACATTTGATTATCAGACAATTTTTTGTTTTGTTCATTGGGCCCTTAAGCTAGTTCCTTTACCCCATCTGCTGCAGGAGTGCTGGGTAAACGTCACACAGGTTGGTTGGTGAGGACGAATAAAAATGTGGCGTTAACAAACGAGCAGAGGGCTATTGATGTTTTTCCACATCTTGAGTATCTGCTGTGGATTCCGGTTACATGTTAACAGGAGGTCTTTGTACGAACAAGGATTGCTGTCATCGACCTGCATGTCTACCTCGAAGCCCGTGTGCATCTCAGGTTCGACTCCAAGTGCCTGCAAGCAGATTCCTATGTAGACATCATTGAAGGGGAAGAAAGGGATGAACAGTGACATCCTGCTGAGGGGCTTTACCAGGGAGCCTGACAACAGAGAGCCAGCACCAGTGGCATAAGCCGGGTAAGAGCCTTCATAGAAGCTTTGAGGGACATAATATCTCTCCTGAGGGTCATGAACTGGATATGACTCGATGTTAATGTGACCAGCGTACAGCTTGGCGGCCTTTTCAGGTGTTAAGGAATGCAGATAGCGGATTATAGCTGCTGTGTTAATGAAGATATTATCGTCTCCACTGAAGATGTACGTTACATGTGGGCAGTGTGTCAAGATCCACTCCAGGAAGAGGGCATCTTTCAAGGACCGGTTGTAGAAAGTGTCTTGAAAGTCCCATTGCAGCAGGTCACTAAAGTATTTTCCCTCGAAGTCCAACAGACGCTGCAAACTGGGCTCCTGTGTCGAGCTTGTGCCCAGGAGGAATATGGTACGCACAGTTGAATCTGCATATGACCCCTGCCGACCCCATGTGTTTCGTATTGCCTGACGCTGCAAAAAATTGCCGGACTCCGACTTGATGGCAATTAGAAGATAAGGTCGCCCCTCCCCGTTCAAATTTTTGCATTTGTTTGGCTGATCTATCACAATTTGAGAATCTCTGCAATTCATTCCTATCAAGAAATTCTTGTATATTTCTGAATAGGAGTCAAAATCTCCTATATTGGCACGCATCATTTCAAAAGTTGCAGGATTGCACCGAGGCTTGTTGAACTTCGTCATGTTAGACATATTCATCTTATCTAGCTTTTCCAATAAAGCTTGTTGACGTCTGCTCCAATATGAAGATTTCTGTGCATAGGCTTGCCTAAATGCTTCTGAGACTGTACTAACAATGTTGTTGTCCTGATCAGGTTCAAACTGGTTTGCAACCGCCTGTTCGAGTATAGTGCCTTGTGACACCATCGCCAGTGGAACGTCTCTCTTTGATCTGAGAAAGTAGTACAGAAAAACTGCAAGACCGTTCATGAACATTATGGCAAGGATGATTTTTTTAGCCCTGATCATTCTTAGAATCATGGTCTTTGTCGTAGGAGGATGTACAAATTAAGAGTGAAAGAATGAGGCACTTGACCTAAAAACAAAAAAGAAGGCATAAGATTAATATCTCCTTCCTCTGATTCCAGATTAAACTGCAAAACATCAGACATGCATCCACCCATTTTCTGTACCCACCTGTCCTTTCTGGGGTTGCAAGTTGGCGAATCCCATTGCAGGACACACTCACAATTTGGTAACTCTAGTTCATCTTAGCATGTTTTTGGACTGTGGGCTGTGGGGGGACTGAGTACTTGGTGGAATGCCCTGACAACACAGGGATAACGCGCAAACGTTACCTGCCTGTTTCCGGTTGTTATAAAGGGAATAAAACTCTCGGGACCGCGTTGCAACTTTGGAAAAATCTTTACTTGCCAAAACTCAACTCTCACAGCACATACCAATGTCTCTTACACCAATCACCTCACAGACTGAAGGGCAGGGCTACTTGGCTCCCAGAACCAATCACATGACTGTGATAAGAAGAAAACTTAACCCCTTAAACCCTGTCTATTATATCTCCTGCTTCACCGTATTCTTGTGTACTGCTGTCTTAGAAATTTTGAACCTGCTCAGTGTAGCCTTCTGCCAGCAGGACCAGTATTATACCAGGATTTAAAAATGCAGATTTGTTTTAAAATGCCTGTCCGTGCTTCAGTCTTCAGTCGGTCACTGAGTGTGTTTGTGTTAGTTGCTGTTTTTGTAGTCTGCTTTTGCTTCCACTTTCTTGCGATTTATTTCCTGCTTGTTCCCCTTAAGAATCAGAGTATGTTTTGCCTATGCTCCCTGCTTGTATAGACTCCCTGTTTATTTTGACTCCTCGTGGTCCTTTTATTTCTCCAGTTTCTAATTAAAACCCCTTCATATGAGAGCTGCACTGCAGATAATCCCTCCAGAATGCCACTCCATAATACCCCCCATACGTCCCTGAAAATAGAAATAGTCTTGATTGACCAGCTACAAAGTTCCGAAGCTCAGAATTACCAGAAGGAAGTTGTACTTAAAAAGCTGACATTCTGGTTGCTGAACTAAAGATAACACCTGAACCAATCAAGCAATCAGAACTCCGAATACCTGTCATAGATGTGTTTAGAGAGGTATGGGGATTACTGGGTTGAGAGATACTGTCATAGGAAGTCGATAACAGAGGACAGGGCTAGGTGGGTGGAGTCATGGACTTATCACTATGGTGATTTTTTTTTGTGCTTATGCTTCCTACACTATATGTTATCGTTTCATTCTTAATGACCGTGGAGCCATGTGACTTTGGTGATCCAAATGGCAGCAAGATGAGAGAGTCGTGTGCCGTTATATTAACCTTCCCTGTGGATATTGACCTTCTCTGTGGAACTGGCAATTACACATCTTTATATACGTTATTCATGAGGATCTTTGTTGCTCCATTTTCTCATGCATTTAGGGGGGTGGGGGCCCCTGGGCTAAAGTCAGTGTTGGGGCCCTGCCTACAGCATAAAATTCCGCCGTGACAACCGCAAAAAAGATTAGGGCCCCCCACTACAACTTGGGCTACTTGGATACAGCCCAGGTTGGCCCATGCATAAGTCTTTGAGTCTACCCTGAAAAACCAGAAAAACACCCATAGTAACTTATTGGAAATTCCTGAATACACTGCTAGAAAAAAAGATACAGCCTTAGTACAGTTTTGTACCCCAAAGTACAAACATTACCTCCAATGGTCCATTCATGTACCCTAAATTAGACTAAAAGGTACATTTAGCTACAGATAAGGTACAGTTGGCAGACTCTTGAGGGTACAACCCCAGTGGCATGTAATTGTACCCTACAAGGTAACTTTTTTTTCTTACAGTGTACATAAGACAGTTAATGACTATTGTGAAGCTTGGTGGTCGATTAGAAATGCTTACTGTACATGCTTTTCAAATGTATAAAGTAACGTGTCATACAATTATGATGTTTTTTGTTAACAGCACATATAGCAATCCTATTAAACTGGTAGTACAAGATTTTAAGCCAGCAGGCAACCATGCTTTACAGTCAAATGCTTTGCACTGAATACATTTACCTGAAGACTAAAACTTTTAATCATAATAATAAGCAATAATTAACACAAATATTTCACCGCAGTATAGGCTGAAACATTAAAATATTTACCTGTGTTTATATATATATGAAGTTAATTTATATATCTTTTAATCTTTATTTACCTATTAGTTGTAGTTACCTGTACTGAAGTGATTATGACATTCGGACGGTCAGTGCAAAAGGGTGATTCTAGGATTCGTGTTGTATGGTTAAGAAATTAATAAACATTCCATCAAATAATAATGTTTTTAAACGAGTAAAACGAAAAACTCACAGTATAAGACACACAGTGTGTCATAAGATACACAGGCACAAATAATTATACAAAAAATTAAACGAATGACCTTGGTGCGGTAGAGGAAATGTGTGTTTACTTACTTTTTTGCTGCCCTTTGTCTTCACTCCAGAAAGGAAAGATAAGACTGTCGGCAATGAAGACTTCGCCAAACGTCTTTGCTCGTTGGCATATAGTATATGAATAGCTGTCAGGTGTACGGCGGTTGGGCTCTAATCTGCCCCCCTACCACGGCTTACCTCCCATGACGTAATCGCTCTTTTTAAAGGTAATGTGGCGTCGCTTCGCTTCTCCTGTACAACGAAGCGGAGTTACTGGTTTATCGGGGAAACTTGTCGGATTTAAGGTGCCACAGTCTAAATGGACTTAATATTCGTTCACTTACATTTTGCCCAGACTGCCTTAAATCCGACAAGTTACCCCGATAAACCAGTAACCCCGCTTCGTAGTACAGGCCACTGCACAATTGAACTTCATTTTTCTTCCCTTACGTAGACTTAAAAACTCACATTACTTGTTTATTGCATATTACCATCAAACCTTAAGTTAAGATTAACAACCTCCCCTAAAACGTTGCAAAAACAAATATTTAGAATTTCAATAACTTTCTGAAGAACTCCAAAAACAATAAATTAACAATAACAACAGTACAATATACAAATTATGTGCAGTAATTAGTAAATCACGATTTCAAACATGTTTAGTCATCAAATTAACACAATTAACAAATTAACACAACCACCAAAACAATCAACATAAACATTCTAAACAACTTTCTTTTTTATTATCAACAATAAAAGTAACAGCAATAACAGTGTAATAAATAAAAATTAAGCGCATTTCAAAATTTGTGCAGTTATTGAAAAATTAATGCAAAAAAACCCAGCATGTTCCACTCACTACCAGGAAGCAGATGTGTTGATATAATTTAACACTATTTACAAGTTTTACTATTTACAAATTACTCCACGTTTTTATTTATTGCAGTGTTTCTGTATTTTTTTTATGTTTTGGATTAAAAAAACAGTTATTAAGGAAGTTATTGAGACTCTGTATTTTTCTATTTTTAAGGTAATGGAAATATCTCGGAGTATTTTCCAATCAGAATTGAAAACGACCTCCTTGCCTAGAAGTTTTTCCTTATTGCCCAACTAAAATTGATCTCACACTAACTGGTGCAAGTTTGGTGCCTGTAGGATTTTCCCAACCAGAGGTAGACGGGGGGGCATTCAGTGTCCTGCTGTAAGTAAGTAAGTAAGTAAGTAAGTAAGTAAGTAAATAAATAAATAAGGGACAAATATCAGTAATTGGTGCAAGTTTGGTGTAGTAGCTGTCACATTTGCAACGTTTTACAGGAAGTTGTTAACCTTAACTTAAGGATGATTGTAAAATATTTACAAGTATTGTGGGCTTTTTAGTCCCGTCCCCTAAATGCAAGAAAAATAAAGCTACAGTGAGGGGTCAGAACCGGCAAATTCCACACACCTCAAGCCATGGCAAAAACTCGAACCCGGTGTCAGGGGTATGAGGCATCAGTGCTAACTACTGCTCCACCGTGGTGTGTGTTATCATGGTGTCACGGTCGCGGTGCAGGCGAGCCGGAAAGCAGGCAAGCTGAGCCGGACGGACAGGCAAACGGGGTTTATTGATTACAAACGGGCAGACAGGCACTACGTCGGACAACGTCAATGACACAACTAGGGAATACAGTTACAGACGCCGACTAAATACACCAGACGGGTAGAAAAGCACAAGGAACAGCTAATGACAATCGGGTAGCCACCAGAGCATGTGAGCGGAGCGGAGCGGTGAGAATTTCCGCTCCTCGCTCACGAGGCTGTTGGCTCCGCCCGCTCCTCCGCTCTAATTCGCACTAAGCCGCTCCGCTCAACACCGCTCCTCGCTCCACTAAAATGTCCTCCCGCTCCAGTCAAATCGCTCCACGCTCGCTCCAATTTAAAAGAGGGACAAATAATCTGCATGCCTAACAAATGTCACCTTAAACCGAAGCCTTATGTCATAAAGAAATATGAGCAACGGCAACATTGCCAGTCAGAACAGAAAATATTTATTTTTAAGCAACCTATCGGCAACAACGGGCAGGTTTGGAAATGGCATTCCACACAAAAATAGGCTTAAAAATAAAGGAATCAGTGGGCTTAATAGCCTAAAGAATATACAGACACGTTTTAAATTCCTCAATTTTAATTCCTCAATGCTGCACGTCTCTAAAATAAAATTTTACGTTACGTGAAATTAAAAAAAAATCTTATTAGACCTACTTTGAAAGACAAAACGAATTTATTTGATTACCAATATTTACTTTATAGGCTTTTATACTTTAATTTACTTTATAGACTTGATATCAGGGCTGTCAAGTTTTGAAGACAGGCAAGAGTGACATTCCACAGGATGCCTTTTCATTGGTTGTTGTGTTGTATTTTACCCAGATACAATAGTACTATTTTCTGATTGGCTATTGTGTAGGCCCTTTCTTTTTTTTGATTGGCTGGTAAGTGACAGGCTCTTGGGGCTCTAAAATGGTGCATTCCTCCAAGTCGGAACTCGGATGAAAACGTCACGAAAAACGTCACTTCCCATCGTAAACACGCCTCTTTTATGACGTTGATGTCAGACAAGATTTTGTTGTCCGAGTTGCCCCTGTGACGTAATTTCAACATAGCGGCTTACACACTCAACAGTAATTCTATTTTATAAATCTTTAAAAATGTTTATTTTGTTAAATGTATTAATAGTTACTAATGTAATTGCACGTATTCGATTTAGAGAATACCATATCATGACCGTAAACAGTATCCTAGCATGCAATATCAGATTTTTACCAGACTTGTTAGTGTCTTTGGTTTGTTTGTAGTTTGTTTGCCTATCGAAAAAAGAATATCGCTATGAATGTACTAAAATATTTTATAAAGCTTTTAATGTGGTTTGACTAGTTCGTATTTCTTGTTTGTTTGTCTCTCGGAAAAAATAATCTCACTCCAAATCTGCTAAAATATAAAGCAACAACACACAGCAGCGTGTTCAAGGAGGCAGCCATGTTTGTTCCGAGATGTGGTAGCTCGAACGGTGGATTGTCGGACGTAATATCACTCAACTCAGAATTTCCGAGTTCCGAGAGAAAAACGAACGCACCATTAGACTCCAGCGGAGACACGCTTGTTTTATAGTGAGGTGCTACTGTGCCGCGGTCTGGGGAAAAATTGGGCTCTGCGGCATATTAGCCTACAAATTATTTTTCCACATGAGAAATACAATGTGTGGCGGGAGTGCGTGACAAAAGACTGAAAAGAGTGACTGTCACTCTCAATGCGTGACACTTGAGAGCCCTGTGATATGCTACAACCATATAAAACTTGCACGCGTTTTGCTCTGGCTTCCGCTTGTTCGCGTACTGTAGCACACTCATGTTTCTGAGAAAAGTGATTCCAAAGTGAATCTTTACTCACTGAAACAGTTTCACCACATTGTTGTTCTTGCTGTACATTCTTGTCATCTATACGTTTGATAAGAATAGTACACTTGTATGATTTATCAGTTTCCTTT